AAAGAAAACAGGAGAGAGGTAGTGGAGAGAGGTAGGTGGGAGAGAGGTAGGTGCGAGAGAGGTAGGTGGGAGAGAGGTAAACGCGGTAAGTGAGATAGGTAAGTCACAGGCTCCATATATTTAACAATTCTCCCACTTGGAGACTGAGACACTGACCGCACCACCTACAGACTGTATCATCTGTTGTCTGTACCGACCTTTTTCTTCAATCATGATATCCTCCAGTTTCCTCTACCTCTACAACTCATGGCTCCTGTCTTCACGCTGGAAAACCAATTAAAGTCGAGCACAACTTCAGTTTCTCAAGAGTAGCACACTTAGTCCATTTCAGCGTCAACATAGCCTTGTACATCTAAGCTCTTTCATAGGTTACTCTTGTCTCTGCTTACAACTCTCACTACATAAACGATATCCTACCTCAGTTGAAAGCTCTTTTTAACAAGTTCAGTCTTCTACCACTTACTGTCATCAAGCGCAATCTTCACTTGTTAAACCCACTTGTTCTGTAATGTCTTCTTCTTTGGTGAAAGCTCTGCCATCTCCCACTTGCTCGAAGCTTCATCTTGTAAGATTTATTCATAGCTCTGTGGTTCTCCACAATTTGTTTGTGAACAATAGAAATGGGTATCACGGACCCACTTCCTCTTCACTTCCATCGTTGCCCTGCACTATGGCCTCTGGTAGATCAACAAATCTTTCATTTCTACAATAACTAGAGCCTCCAAGAGATGCTACTTGAGAAGGTCCCCACACACTTGTGTGTACAAGATCTAGTTTTCCTCCCCTTAGCCCTCTGCCACCTTTCAAGAAACTGACATTCTTCTATTTCCCCACAATGCACCTCTGACTCATGTGTCTACACCTGAATAAACATATAGTCATATATAGTGTGTATGTTTTCTTACTCTAAGCCAATACTAATGCTCATTTGGTAACCTTCGAGGTGCTATCTAAGAACACTACTGAATGACCATCCTCATTGAGCTGCCTGACAGAAATAAGGTTTTTCTTCAACTCAAGAACGTGTCTAACCTTTTGCAAAGTTCATTTGCTCTTGCTATGAAGTACAATATCAACGCCTCTCATCCCCACCACATACAGAGCTTTGCAATCAGTCATATATACCTTCCCAAAGTTACCTGCAACATAATTTTGTATTAACTCACGGTGGGAAGATGTATGGAAGGAAACTCCTGAATCAGTATCCTGTCATCAACAGAACAGTGAACTATCAGCAATAGTGCATCTTGTATTTCTTTAGTTACCACATTTGTGTTATCATTCTCCTTCTTATTAGGATTCATGCAGTTTCTTTTTATGTGGCCAGCCTTGCCACAATTCCAACAGCTTTCATGCTGACCAGCCTTTAATTTTGATCTTCCTCTGTTTAAGTTTTTATCATGTGATCTCCCTTTGGAATCAACAATCAGTGCCGAACTCGAACCCGAGGTCTCACCAGAATCTTTCTTGCGCACCTCCTTAGTCAAAATCAAATCACGAATATCCTCATATTTCAATTTGGATTTATCTGCAGAACTGCTAGCTGCTATCCTTATGACTTGCCAACTATTTGACAATGGTGCCAACAATATCAGCACACGTAACTCATCATAAAAATCAATTTCAACAGACAACAATTGATTTGTGATAATACTAAAATCATTCAGGTGTTGAGCAATAGACACACATTCTTTCATCTTCAAGTTGAATAACTTTTTCATCAAGTGCACCTTGTTATTCGCCGATGGCTTTTCATACATACCTGATAAATCCGTTTTGAGATATGCAACAGTCCTCTCATTGATGACGTTGTGGGCAACGGATCTCGACAGAGTCAATCGAATAACCCTTAGAACCTATTGATCCAACAGATTCAATGTCGTCTTGTCCATCTTTTTCGGTTGTTTTTTAAGTAACAGAAGATGAAGTTTTTTTCTATAGAGGTAATCCTCTATTTGTATCCTCCAGTAACTAAAATCTGTGTCATTGAATTTCTCGATCCCCGATGTCATCACTTTGTCTCTGCCCATCGTTTTCTTTCAGCCTCGAACCACTGCTCTGATACCAATTGTTATGAAAAAACTATGACAATAAAGTGAAAAAACTGGATCGAAAAAGTTACAAACCAGAAAATAACACATAGATTTATGTGGTTCCGCTAATTTGTATACGTCTACAGAGCTGTAGAGGATTTTAATACTTCGAGAAATTACACCGTTGAGTTCCTACGTTTACAAGAAAAAAACTTCCTTTCTCTTTCTCTCTCTTAGCTCTCAAGAGGATTTGGCTTAACACTTATGACAGACCAAAAGAGACTATTTAAAGAAAATTGGACAAAGGTAGTGGAGAGAGGAAGGTGGGAGAGAGGTATGTGAGACGTGGTAGATGAGGTAGGTAAGTCATAGACTCCATATATTTAACATAAACAATTACTTATGTCATATAAAATCCAATCAACTAAATTGTACTTATGCCTCCATTAAAAATGTGGTTATTACAATTTTTTTCCCCCATGTACTATATCTCATGTATATATATATTTCATTTTGTCATCAACATCTGCAACATTGAATACAAAAATTACATGTAGCAAGAGACTTTATTGGAGAGATTCTATTCTTTCTTTCAGAGGGAAAAAACAGAGTATTGTGTTCATCATTTTCTTGTAATTGTTGTAAATATTTTCTAGTGAATTTTCTTTGATTTAATTTCTAGTGAATTTTCAATTTTCTTTGATTTAAATGAAGTATTCTGTTGTGTTTTATCTATGCTTCGTAAGTAGTATTCTTTTCTCTTTTCTTTTAATACGAAGTAGTGATATGTGCAGTAAAATTTATTTTTGATAGAATTATTTTTATTTTCATGTGATAAATAATATCTCTTTTGCTTAATTGACATAACTCAAGTGACTATAAGCTATGTTAAAATCTGTTGTAAGTGAAACTAAAACTTGGAAGAGTGATAATCTTGCAACTTAAGTGCACTCACATTGACTAGTTGGGTAGTAAAATAGTTTATGCGATAATGCAAATTTTAAGGAAATATAATTTAATGATATGTTTCAATTAGATGTTTATAAGTGACAGATAATTGCATAAAACTAATAGAATACTATATATATATATATATATATATATGTTCTTTGTTGATACATAATTTACTAATTAATTCTATCAATCCTTTTACTGCATATGTCATTATCTTCATTTTACTTCACATTTGCAATGAGATAGATGCATGTTTAAGAATTTAGATGTGCTTAGATATTCTCTTATTTAATTAATGTGATGGTATTTTCATTAGCTCTTAATTAACTTTGGAAATTGGTCACTTGTAACATTAAATATGAAATTACATGTAGCCCCTTTTTGCTGGTTGCTTCGCAAACATGAGTTTTTGGATTTGAAGCCTCTCATGTGCGTTGTTACTTGAGTGCAATTAAATTTACTTAAAAAAATTATGTGATTTTATTTTATCATACTTATGTTGTAATATCACATGGAGATGGACCAAAAATCAAATTGTTAGCTGATTGTTTTAGCTAACATGTATAAGTTTTGTGTTTTGACGTCGGAAGAATAACTTTTAGAAGAAAATTCAAACAATTAATTAACAATTAATTTTTTTTGTTAAGAATGACTTGCTTTAGATACTTGAATAAAAAATCAAACATATTTCACAATTAGTTATTTAGTCGATCAACTTTTTTTTAGCATCTTACAACTTAACAATTTAGAAAATGATTTTACATTCATAGTAGGCTATAACTGCACCAAATAAAATATTTTTGTACCACATTATATTTTAGTTTCTTGATTTTGTACTCAACTACATATCAAATTGTGAACCACTTCTAAATAAATTTGTCATATAGAGAAATCATTAATCAAAATGAAACTGCTCTCACTTCTTAACAGCTCCAATCAGAAAAGGATGTGTCACTTGATTTGGCTTGACTGCTAACCGAAAAGTGACATGACAATGAGATATTTTAAGTATGAATTATATACACTTGTATCACCACTTTCTTATAAAGCAAGGCCATCATATGAAATTGACGACTCGGCTGTATTTTGGGAAATCTACATATGCACCATACAATTCTTTTGGATTTAACACCTAAAGTTTAATATTTAAAAAGCAATATCTAAAGGTTAGTATGCAGAAGCAATATCTAATATCTAAAAAGCAATATTTTTAATAGGTTAGTATGTAGAAGCAATATCTAATATCTAAAAAGAAATCTACATATGCACCATACAATTCTTGGTGTTATAAACTCGTACATAAAATGATGTATTTGACTTTTAAAAGGTTAGTAGTATTTTTAACATGTTATTAAAGATTTGTATTAGATATATAAATAAATAAGAATTGTGTGCCAATGTATGTAAATGCAAAGGCACAATAGATTCGGTTAAATTCTCAGTCAATTCTGTGTTGGACAATTTCTTCAATCTGCCTATCGAACACTTTTTTATTCAACCCTGTTTTTTTTTATTTTGCCGGATGCTTGGATCTTAAATCATCTTCTAAACCAAGCAAGGAGTTCCGATCATAATAGTCTGCCCTTAATGGTTTACAAAGAGAATTTTTTTTGTTCTTTATTTTTTTTTAATTTATTTTTGTTTCAATGGATCTTTAAGCCACAATTGGTCTTGGAGTTATCAACGGAAATATTCCAGAAAGCTGCTGATTAGAAAACCTACCTTCATCTTGAACAGAAAAAAAAGAAAGATAGTTGATTTTCACACCAATCGTGCCTTCTACATAACATACTTTGAAGCCATTCTCATAGGATTTCAAAAAAGGAACAACGATACATCGATCCATCATCTAATGATTCAAACAAACAAACAAAAAAGAAAGTCTATCAACATTGAACAGACCTATTAGTAGTAAGATGCTAATGATTCAAACCAAAGAAAAAAAGAAAGTTTATCAACATTGATCAGCCGGAGCAGCATCACCAACAACAGTAGGGGAAGAAGAAATAAGATCGGCATTCTGCTTAGCTACAGACTCCAGGAAGTTGAGTCTCGCCCTCACCTTCTCAAGAACTTTATTCATTGCAACGAACTCTTCTTCGACTGAAACCCTTCGGTTCTCCTGGTTCGGGGTAGGGTTTAGGCTGCGATTACCGTCGGCGATGAAATTGGCGGAAGGTTCTGGCGGAATGAAGACGAGGAGGAAAGCATCTGCCCCCCGGAGAGCGGATAACTTGCGTTTGATCTGATTGTTGCGAATGGAATGGAGTCCTCGAGGGTTCGTGGGCTTTGCAGAAGGGCCCATGGTTTCGAGAATAGAGAAGAGATGGGAGGAAGAAAGGGGAATTTGAAAATGAGGAAATTAGGAGAAGTGATAATGAAGGGAAAGATGCGAAACCCATTTTATAGAGAAGCCGTGTCTTATTTTAGGAAAGGGGAGACAGGTGGAGATGGAATATCTGACCGTTGGTATAATTTCTATGTGAAAATTTGAAATTTAAATTTTGAAGCCCAACCGTCTCCAAGTAACGGTAGAAATTCGGGAGTTCATCGACAATGAGGTTTATAGACCCGATTCAAATTAAAGATACAATGACAATAAATTCTAAGATATTATTTAGGAAAATTTACATACATATCTCTCAATTACTTTGTATTTATCTACACAGGTTTGTATTCACACGTGCTTGCCACCTTATTTATGCATTGAAAGTATTCCACGTTTGAAAAGTTAAAAAAGGTGTATTTTTCTTTGTGATATCAATATTTCGGGTGGTATAAATGTAAAATATAAAGTTTACGTGATTAAAATGTAAATCAAATGAAATTGGGTGGTATGAATGTAAATATCTCTTCTTAATTAATGCGGGTTCAAACTCCACCAGGCTTTAATATTAAATATAAATGAATTTTAATATGTAGAAAATCCTTTTAAATTGAGGGAAATAATGAAAATGAATAGAATTCTCAACAATTAATTGGCCATAATGAAGCAACAATCAAGAAATTAAGATTTTTGTTCAACCCTTGTTTCATTGTCTTTCACTCCAATGCCTCTAACAAAATAGGGCCTCATCATTCATATAACAAAAGCAAATCACATTGCATTTACATCCAATTCATTAAAACCCATAAAGGGTCTCAAGACAAAAGCAACTTCGTCAAAGAATTTCATTTTCTTCTCTAATGGAATTCAAAGATGGGCAGAGAAAAGAGATGGAGAAATACATTTAGTATGTATTACATAAAGCCACTTAATACAAGAATAGAAATAACTATATATAGGTGAAATGCTATTAGCTTTTAAGTACATGTAGGATTATACCAATATAATAATGACACTACTAATAGTCCCCCTCAAACTTAACATCTAGTGGATAGATGTTAAGTTTGTTCCTAAATCGTTGGAAATTAGATGTTGATAAAGCTTACATGAAGATGTCCACAATTTGATCTTGAGTGGCTATATGCTAGATTGTAAGTATATTTGCTGTAATTTGATCTCGAATGAAGTGATGATCAATTTCTATGTGCTTGGTTCATGCATTGAAGATAGGATTGTTGGCCATAGCAATAGCGAATGCGTTGTCACAGAAAATAACTGTGGGAATGTCCATAGATAGGTGAAATTTAGCTAATAATCTTTGAATCCATATAGCATTTGTTGTAGCCAAATGAAGAGTCTTCCTCCTTTTCCCTTGCTCCAGGCTCTAAGCTAAAAAAAAAAACCCTAAACTACTTAAGGAAGAAGATGGATTTATCCCTTGTGCTCTCCCAAGCTCTCTAAGCTTCAGGCCAATACTGAAAATGAGAGGCGATGGATGAAATGAGGAAGAGAGAAAGTGTAAACCAATCTCTCCATGTATAATCCCCATAGTGCCCCTTAATTAAGCAATAAATAGCTAATCAAGGGCACTTAGAACACACAAAAAAGGTTCAATCCCCCTAGCCTTTTCATAATCCCAAGGAGATCTCCCCAAGTCCAAAGAGGGTCTAAAAATTTGGCTCAAGGTGGCATGCCTCCCTAAAGCCACTAGGCCAAATTTTGAAATTTGGGTGGGCCGGCATGGTCACGTCGAGCTCCAGCGTGGTCACGCAGAGCTCTGGCATGGTCATTCCACTCTGACGTAATTACGCCATGCTTACTATCTTACGGCGTGGTCACGTCGCCTTCAAACGTGACTACACCGAAGACATCCTTTGTGCAACTGATAGAAGGTCTGGCAAGGTCACACCATCCCACAGCGTAATTACGCCATGGGCTCTATTGTGTGGCATAGTCACGCCATCTTCAGGCATGGCTACACTGAAGACAACCCCCTCAACCCTTGTGAGGAGGGGTTAGGCGCGGCCACACCCGATTTGGGCGTGGTCATGTTAGACCCATTTGGGCCATTTTTAACTCTAAGAGCCTGTTAAGAGCATTTCATGACACAGAAAACTCTTAATGAAGGGAACATATCACATAGGCCTCAAAATGATCGTTCGACTTGCCCCAGGAACAGAGAAAGTGTCATGGATCAATGGTGATCGCTCCGGAGACGGAGTGCTCCTGGTAATGTCTTAATGGATTTCTTGAGCTATAGGAGGGCGCGTGTGAGCGTTGGATGCTCCCACAACATCACAGGGGCACCTGTATTTGTGACATCAAAAATCAATGCCAACAAGTGATATCCAGAAATGGTTTTGTGTAGTTGTATTGCTAGTAGACTTAGAAGAGTGAGTTAAGGAGCTCTTTACAATTCTACATTATGGCTTTATTTAATACTTCTAGAGTGTATGAAGTTTGGCTAAAATGATAGCCGGATTTGATCTTATGAAATTGAATGCCTAGGAATGTTGTTACTTGCCCCATCTCCTTCATTTGAAATTTGTTATGAAGGATTTGAAATAAATTTTGAATAAAGTTCAGATTGTTACTTGTTATTAATACATCGTCCACATATATGAGAAAGAAAGTGAGGATCTCATCCTTATGATATATGAGTAGAGACATATCTGCTTTGCTGAAGTGAAAGTTTTATTGAATAAGGTATGTCGAAAATGTTGAATACCGCTGGCGAGGTGACTGTTTCGGGCCCTATATTTCTTTCTGTAAGCAACAGAAATGTTGAGGATGTTGTTGATCGTGGAAGCCCTGAGGTTGAGACATATGGACAATTTCTTCAAAATTTCTATGTAGAAAAGCGTTTGACAAATCAATTTGAAGAATGTCCCAATTGTTTCGCATGGCTTTTGTCACAAGTATACTAATGGTAGTCATTTTAGCTACCAAACTAAACGTCTCAAGGTAATTAATTCCATATTCTTGATTGAATCCTTTAGGTACTAAACGTGCTTTGTATGATACAGTGGTCCCGTTGGAGTGTTTGGTTTGATTCTATAGGTCCATTTGCATCCTATATCTTTGCAATTAGAAGGTGTAGGAACTAATTCCTAGGTGTTATATTGTCAGAGAACTAAAAATTCTTAGGACATAGCTTCTCTCCATTGATAAACTTGAATGCTTGGCTAAACCTAGTCGGTTTAGGTACTTCGGTGAGATGGTGCTGCAGGTCAAAAAAAAAATTTTGGTTTCCACTTACCTATTTTGAGCCTAATATGCATCAGATAGGTGGAAAAGGGATTGAATGGTCTGCTTGTTGTGGGAGGTACGGGCTCAGGTAGAAGTTGTGGTATGGATGTTGTAATTGGTTGGGTACGGTTAGGGTAATGACTAAAATTTATTCACTATTTCTTTATTGATAATTGGACTGCGGTGAATGAGTGGAAGGATCAGTGTGAGTCTGGTTTCCAAAGCCAGGGAAAAATTTCTGTCCAGTAGTGGTGCTGGTTTCAACTGATGTGATAGGAAGGAGGATGAGGGGTGGTATATATGAGTTGGGATTAGAGTTAGGTAGGTGATTGAATGGGAAGTATGATTCATCAAATGGAATGTGTCTGACTATGATAATTTTATTGGTTGTTTGGTTATAACAACGATAGCCTTTATGTTGAGTGGATTAGCCAAAAAACTATACGAAGTGGAGCAATGGACTGCAGCTTGTTAGTGATGATGGGGTGTTGCCAAGGATACCTGCATGACCCGAAAGTTTACAAATGTTTATAACTTGGAGCTTTATGATATAGTAGTATAAAAGGTGAGATGTTTTTTGTGTTGACGGACGAAATGCAATTGATTAGATATGTGGTTTTTTTGTACTGTGTCAGTCCAAAATTTGAGAGGTGATCTGGCTATGAGTAAGACAACTCATGTCATTGTTAAGGGTGGAGCCCGGTTCACGATCCCGTCTTCGCCTGCTTCCGCACACACGCAAAGCAAAGATGCTTTGCCAGTTTCAAAAATCGCCGCCTTCTCGCCGAACTACTCCCTAGAACCGATCCAGTTGTTTTGTGAAGAGTTGTGTCTCCCGCTCTGCTCGATAGTTACCGCTTCCTGTTCGTGATAAAAGGCATCATATGACTCCTTCAATTTCTAAGTGAGGTTTTTGTGTTCTTCTTTGGTAGTTTCTGTTTCCTCGGGGGATAGAGGAAAAGAAGTGCAAGCAGTGATTCCTTGCGGTAGAAGGAAGAAGAAAAAAGAAGAATATTGTTCTCCCTTGGCTTCTTCTTGATGGCTTGTTGCAGAAGATAAATTAGGTTTTTTTCTTTTGTAAGTTTATCTTCTTCGATGTATCTCGGTGTAGAGCTTCTTCGATGTATCTCGGTGAAGAGAGAGAAAAAACAAATAGAGAAGAAGAGAGAGTAACAGAGTGAAAGAGTTCGCTCTTGTAAGTCGAGACGATCGACTGGTGTAAATTCCTGAAGTAGTAAAATCCTTTGCAACTCCGTAGACGTAAGCAATTTGCCGAACCACATAAATCTGTGTATTCCGCTGTGTTATTATTTTCTGGTGTGAATTTTCTCGTGCTATTTTCACTTTTATCAAAGATCGTTCTTCTATTTTATTTTATATACCACAACAGTCAATTCTATGATGTGACGGTGCTTCTGTTCTACCACTTTATTCTGCTTTGGAGTGTAAGGACAACTCACTTGATGATGTATCCCATCTGAAGAGAGGTATGTTTGGAAAATGTGAGATGTAAATTCTCCTCCCCCATCAGTTCAAAGAACTTTTATTGAGGTGTTGAATTGGTTATTGATAATTTTATGCAATTAAATATAAATTTTGAATAAACTTCGAACTTATTTTCCAAAGGTATTAACCAAGATTACCGATTACAATCATTACAAATAGAAAATAGTATTTATACCTAAAAAGTGAGAGAATAAGAGCCGATCCCCATATATCACTATGCAACAATTGAAAAGGTTTATTGTTGCGATTTAATGAACTTGGTAACAGCAAGCAATGCATTTTAGCAGCACATTGGGTATATTTAGTAGCAAAAACACGTATATTTAAAGTCTTAGCTTGTCGTGAGATGAGCTTTGAGACTTTAGCATGGGGATGCTTAAGCCTTCGATGCCGATCAATTTTCGACATAGATCATGTGTCGAAAGCTGGTAAAGTTCGTGTTTGGAGCTGCTCGTGAGAAGTTCCTAGTTTGTTTTGGGGTCCTTTATTTGATAACCAATTGAGTCAAATTGAATGGAGCAATTATTGTCAAGAACAACGTTATGGATAGATATCAAGTTATGAGAAATATGGGGAATATGTAAGAGTCTCTTGAGAGGAAACTTATGATGGGTTGTCAGTAATATTTATTGACCACTGTGCTAAATGGGAAGGCTCTCACTGTTGCCAACTTCAACATGTTCATTGCCATTATATAATTGTGGTTGTTGAATATTGTTGCAGTTGGGCCCCATTTGTGACGAAGCGCTTGTATCAAGAATCCAATTTGTGGAGAGATCCGATTTCAGGTCAGTAGTAAGAGCAGTTTGTGGTTGAGAGTGAGATTTGGGTACATAGGCTAAGTTGGACCGATGTGAAGTCAGGAGTGCCTTTCTTTCCTCAAATTTGACATATATTAGTAGATCTTTGGTGACCGGTAGAGGTGGAGGTTGTTGACGATCTTCCACCATTCTTATGGGCGTTGGTACGACCACAACCCTTGTTGGAAAAAAATGTTATCTGAGCTATAGTTTGTTCCTTAGCTTCCATAGCATTGAGGTGTATTTCCTCACTGCAAAGAAGAGCTTAAAGATCCTCCGACATAGGTAAGAGGGATGAAGAGATAGTGGTGTAGAGATTAGCTGCGAGATTTTGATCAATCAATTTCCAGCTAGAATGAGCATTGTTGACCAAATTGTCATTCCTGAGTGGGGGAGGGCAGATTGAAGATCCATCAAGAAACAATTCGAAGCCTTAGACTTGAAAATTTTGTAGAATTGAGAGTGCCAAATGGAAAAATTATCTGTGATTAGTTGGGTTGTAACAAGACTTTTGATGTTCCCCATGAGGAATTTCAGAGCTGGAGGAATTGGTGGAGATAAAGGTTGAAAATTTTTAGTATCTACGGAGGAGTTTGCACAATCCATAGGTTGGATTGGTAGAAGAAATCAACCCAAGAAATGGGACATTAAACAAGATTCAAGCACCGGCTAAGGAATTGAATGCAGGAGACCGAGCGAGCTAAAAAGTGCGAACCAGAGCGTCAGAATGTGGGAAAGAAAGAACAGAGAAATACATTTACTGTTTATTACATAAAGCCACTTAATACAAGAATAGAAATGACTATATATAGGTGAAATCCTATTAGCTGTTAAGTACACTTAGGATTATAACAAATACAATAATGGCACTACTAATCTTCTCAACTTGCAACTTAAAATAAATAAAATAAACCATTATCAACAATGACAGTAATCTTAAGTACACAAGAATTTTACAACCAAATAATCAGATTTCGCAGATCTGTAAATTAATGAATGACTGGCACATCAGGAACTCTATTCAAAGAAAATCGGTACATAATATAAACAAAAATCAAAATAAAGTGGTCCGTCGAAAAAACATAGAATAACTCTAAAGAGCGGCTCGAGCTCAGAAGCCCATCCATCACTTCTGCTGAATTTCAAAGAGAAGTTCTCTTCGCCCACTAAGTTTTCTTTGTTCATCCAACAAGCTAAACCGTTAAACAGGACTTATGAAGCTTAGACTCGGTCATGTAATGGGATGGCCTCGCCTACAAGGTTCGGTCAAACAGATCCATATCTGCAACCTCCATAAGCTGCATAAATTGCAAGGCAATAAGAAAAGTAACGTTGAATTTGTAATAATTTAATATTGTAAAATTAATTAATTTATGTAATAGAAATGAAATAATTAAATTTTAATTATGTTTTGTGCATTCTAACAAAACTAAACAGACTTTTAAATTCTTGCATAAAATCCCAAAAAGTTATTGGGACTTGATCCTTTCAGCGCTTACTAAATGCGGACTTGAAGGATTTAGTAAATCCTAATAGCTTAAATCCCATAAGTTGCCAAACAGCCCCTAAATTACATTGATGGAAATACAAAGGAACTAATTTCATATGTTGTTTTAACACTTCTTCAACAATATAGAAGGATTCAAATGCAAAAAAAATTCTTTTACTCCAAACTTGCAACAAGCACAAAGTCTTCATGTTACACTTAATTTTTATAAGGAAAAACTCGAAAGAATGAAGAGAAAATCTAAGCAGTTTAGAAAACAATGGCTTATTTTCTTATACCTGGGCACATACGGCACACTTATTGCTCCTCTCGAACCATTCAAGTATGCACGAAAGGTGAAAATGATGTTTATATTTTGTAAAAATACGAGGGTTCTCATCATCATTCTCTGCATAAGACGTGAGATGAATTTTATCAAATAATCCGACCATTTTCTGCAAAGCAAGACAACTAATGACAAGATAAAACAAGTTATAATTGAACTGATATATGTTTAGGACACTCCATGAAATCATTTTGTCAACGAAACTTAACCTCCTATATGAAAAAACGAAAACAATATAATAAATTACGTTTGGATAAGAAAGAAGAAATGCTACCTTCAAGACAAATGTGGTAAACATCACTATCATCGGTTGAGACTTGTGGGGCTGTGTATGTGTGAAAATTCTTCTTTATTCTTAGGTTCTATCAAATCATCACACCAATCTAAGGTTTTATCTCTCATTGATAAAGAATCCAAGCCTCCTTATGCCACGAGCAACAAGCCGAACCTCCTTATGCCACGAAGAAGAAAGAAATAGCACCCAACCTTTTTATACGACTTGTTTGAGCTCTAACAAGCTAATATTTATATTATGATAATATCATGCCAATACTGTCAATTCACATCTAATTCATATTCATAATATTTTTTTCTTGGTTAGAGATAGAGATGAAAGCGAAACATAGACTTCTATTTTCAATGTATTCGTAAATATATGTTTTGATTTGATTCGATTTGTTTAATTTTAGCTTTTCAATTGTTTGAAATGAAGTCGAAATTAACTGATCGGCGTAAAGGAGCTTCTAATCCGAACTCGTATGAGCTCGTAATAACATTTTAATTATTTTAAGACATATAGGACATAATGGCACAGGCCTAAGGATGGCTTAACAGTCCCTATTGGTTTTGGTATTTAAACAAAACCATAGTAGTAATGAAAATTATCTCTCAATGTGGGACTAAATAGAAATGAGAAATCTCATGGGGATGTGACAGGCGATGAAAAAATTTTATGCACATTTGGTATGTATTAATATGTGTATCTGCGGGAAAGCGGCGGGGGAGAAGAATTTTTCACCATGTGACTAGAACTTTCTATGAGCATTTACATAGATGTCACCCGATTCTTATATGGTTACATATGCAACACGTGTATATAAACTTTTTCTATACTTTTTATAATTACAGCAATCAAATAATATTTAATAATACTTAAATACATTACGAATAATTAATATAAAAAATGCATAAATAAATATTTTAATTAATTAATTTTTTAATTCTTTTGAGCCAAATCGAGCTGAAAAATGAACGAACAAACATTTTTATCGTTGGGCTCATTCATATATCAAGCTAAATTAATATGTTTGTGTTCTGTCCTCTTGTTTAAAGAACGAATTGAACACGGACAGCCAAATGCGCGCTGTTCTCAAACAACGAACTATTTTGACAGCCGTAGCCTTGGTCAACCAATATTTTAATAAAAAATATTTACATAAACACTACATTATTTTTATATATATTAAACAATGCTATCTTCAGAATCAACGTGAAAGTCGACAACGACGATTTGATCCAATAAAGATTTGATTTCGGTCAAATATTGATTGATGGAGTTGGTTTCATGGAGATGTTATGTAGCTCGTTCTTGAGTTGTATGACACAAGATCGATTAGATGATTGGAATCTTTTTGACAAGGTCTTCCAAATTGCTGTAGTGGTGCCAAGATTTACCACGAGTAAGAGGGATGAAGAGATAGTGGAGTAGAGATTAGCTGCGAGATTTTGATCAATCAATTTCCAGCTAGAATGGGCATTGTTGACCAAGTTGTCGTTCCTGAGAGGGGGGAGGGCAGATTGAAGATCTATCAAGAAACGATTCGAAGCCATTAGCCTTGAATAATTTGAAGATTTGAGAGTGCCAAATGAGAAAATTATCCATGAAACTTTTATGTTTCCCATGAGGAATTTCAGGGCTGAACGAATTGGTGGAGATAAAGGTTGAAAATTTTTAGTAACTATGGAGGAGTTTGCACAATCCATAGGTTGGATTGGCAGAAGAAATCAACCCAAGAAATGGGATGTTAAAAAAGAATCAAGAACCGGCTAAAGAATTGAATGCAGGAGACCGAGCGGGCTAAAAGGTGCAAGCTAGAGAGTCGGGATGCGGGAAAGTAAGAACAGATATACATTTACTGTTTATTACATAAAGCCACTTAATACAAGAATACAAATAACTATATAAGTGAAATCCTATTAGCTGTTAAGTAAACTTAGGATTATAACAAATACAATAGAGACACCACTAATATTCTCAACTTGCAACATAAAATAAATAAAATAAACCATTATCAACAATGGCAGCAATCTTAAGTACACAAGAATTTTACAACCAAATAATCAGATTTCGCAGATCTGTAAATTAATGAATGACTGGCACATCAGGAACTCTATTCAAAGAAAATCGGTACATAATATAAACAAAAATCAAAATAAAGTGGACCGTAGAAAAAAACATGGAACAACGCTAAAGAGGTGCTCGAGCTCAGAAGCCCACCCATCAGTTCTGCTGAATTTCAAAGAGAAGTTCTCCTCGCCTAATAAGTTTTCTTTGTTCATCCAACAAACTAAACCATTAAACAAGGCTTATGAAGCTTTCAGACTCGGTCATGTAATGGGCTATCAGGTAAGAAATCATTTCATCCAAATGGCCTCACCTGCATGGTTCGGTCAAACAGATCCATATCTGCAACCTCCATAAGCTGCATAAATTGCAAGGCAATAATTAAAATAAAGTTGAATTTGTAATACTTTAATAATATAAAATTAATTAATTTCTATAATAGGAATGAAATAATTAAATTTTAATTATGTTTGTGTATTCTAACAAAACTAAACAGACTTTTAAATTCAGGCATAAATTCCCTAACAGCTATTGGGACTTAATTGATTCAGGGCTTACTAAATCCGGATTTAAAGGATTTAGTAAATCCTAATAACTTAAATCCCATGAAAATACGAAGCAACTAATTTCATATGTTGTTTTAAACTCAAACAATATAAAAGGATTGAGATGCAAAAGAATTTCTTTTATACCAAACTTGCAACAAGCACAAAGTCTTCATGTTACACTAAATTTTTATAAGAAAAAAGCCGAAAGGATAAAGAGAAACTTTAAGCAGCTTGGAAAACAATTTCTTATTTTCTCATACCACAACGGCTTATTTTCTCATACCTGATCACATACGGCGCACTTATTGCTCCTCTCAAACCATTCAAGTATGCACGAAAGGTGAAAATGATGTTTACATTTTGTAAAAATACGAGGGTTCTCATCATCATACTCTGCATAAAACATGAGATGAATTTTATCAAATAATCCGACCATTTTTGGCAAAGCAATACAACTAATGACAAGCTAAAACAAGTTATAATTGAACTGATATATATTTAGGACACTCCAGGAAATCATTTTGTCAACAAAGCATAACTTCTGGATATGAAAAAACGAAAACAATATAATAAATTACATTTGGATAAGAAAGGAGAAATGCTACCTTCAAGACAAATGGGACAAACATCATCATCATCGGTTGAAAAACTTGTGGGGCTGTGTATGTGTGAAAATTCTTCTTTATTCTTGGGGTCTATCAAATCATCACACCAATCTAAAGTTTTATCTCTCATTGATAAGGAATCTGCTGACTGCCTCTGCTCATTTTTGCTTGCATAGTTTTCAGTGCTTCCAGCATTAATTTGTGCGTCTGTGAAATTCAGAAGCAGCAGCACAGCATTAGGATTTTTATAAGAATAAGGGGTACTCAAGTCTCCCGAATTGAATCAACAATAAAAAGCGGAACAGCAGATGATGTACCATGAGTGGAAGGCAGAGGTTCATTGTCCTCGAAATCCTGTGGATACTGGAAGAGATAAGCTATCAGATCTAATTGAACCACAAATATTGTGCTGAAACTATCCTGAGACTGATAGATATATGAAAGCTAATTGAACGCAATGCTCCAATATGGTATATGATATTTTAGAAATATGTCAAAATAGAGCATGCTAAACATGGAGATATCAGAAAAATAATTTAACCATGCCACAAAGTTGTGTTGAATAAGCAAAAAAATATCCATGTAGATTGCAAAATCATTAAATAATTATCTTCTTAGAGCATCAATGAGAAATAGAGTTAAAAAAACACAATAAAAAAATATTATTAATAATGAAAAAATATTAAAAAACAAATAGAGCATATTCTTAGTATTAATAGCTAGCACATGTAATGATTTCAATATGATAATACTCCCCGCAAACTCAAAGTGGCATAAAAAGTATTAACTTGAGTTGGATTGGCCCATTCGTGAAAGAGATAATAACATAAGTTGAAAATGTTGGCGATGAGATTCATACAAAAGAAGATCATGACACAATCACCATTGGAAAAGAAAGATGGATTGCATAGGTGTGCATATCTGTGAGAAAGAGAAGTGAAAAAGTGCCTCAACAGTCCATGATCAAGACGAGAGTCTCACTTAGGAAGGGGTTGGTAGAGCACAAATAGTTTGTAGATGCAAGAAACCGTGAAAGCAGCACAATTGAGATTAGAAATTCGAGTATGGCATCAACAGGAATGGATTTACAGATGATGGGGGGATTCTAGACCATAACTTCGATACCATATTTGAAATTAAAGACAATTATACAGAACTAAATCTTTACTTAATTAACTTTTTAGTATAAGCATATGTGTCACTAATTGTTCTTATATACAAGCAAGAGAAGAGAACAACAAAGATATACAACAAAGAAGAATATTGTCAATTATGAAAAAGTATAACAGTAATAAATAATAAAAATTCCTACTGTAAGCAATTAAAACATATTGGAATGAAGGAAACATAAGTTCTTTCAGTGATAATTTATCATTATAAACTACAGAATTCCGTAGCTTCAAATGCATATGTTATGTTTTAGAAAAGATACAATCATAGATATCGAAAAGGAAAAAAATATTAAAATTGCAAATATAATTTTCAAGTATCCTGTGATATTAAGAAGAAAATATCAGAAGAACTGGCAAAACTTGAAATGTTGCTGTCTACAATAATCGCGCAAGCTAAGAGGCTGCTTACTTGGTAGTAAACAGATATTCCGCCTGACGCAGTTCTTGAGGAGCAGCAACACCCACCCATTTCCTTTTTATATGATTGACTATATCGAACTTGACATCTCACAGCAACTACAATATTTTCTGCACGCTTCATGAAATGAGAAAATAAGAATGATTAGATGATTAGATGATTAGATAAAGATGCTTTTCATTATTTTCAAGTGCTGATGATTTAAATTATATTCAGTGAATTTATACTGCAACAACTGTCTAAGGCTAAATTCAATGAGTACAGCATTAAAAAAATTCAGAGGTTGCAGATTACAAGAAACATATAGAGTTAAAGGTTGGTGTAACAACATTGATCCGGTATTTAAAGAGCAAGTCTGCTAACTTCTCCATCTAAAAACGGGCCCCTTCTATCATTTTTAATAGAGATTATCAACAGATAATACTCTTAAAATCATTTCTTGATAACGTAAATCTCACACAAACCAGATATCCTAAACCAACTTCATTTCAACAACCTTAGTAAATTGTTAAAAGCACTTTAGAACGCCTACATATGTGTGTCCCTAGATATGGAATTCACCGCACATTTTTTGTTTGAGAAATAAATTCATAACAAGCAATCTGGACTAAGAAGCTAAGTAATATGCAAAGCAAATTGAGTGCATTAAAACTGATTTCTTAATGTTTCTAAGCCAGAAATCTCATCAATGGCTGAATCATAATCGCTAAAAGAAGAGGCTGAATAAGAAAACCGGTGTCAAGCCTTTTTTTAATAAAGGCGGCAGCTCAATAAAATATTTATTTCCATTCAACAGCTTCTTACCAGCACAAACCTGATAGGAAATTCTCGCGAACAATTCCCAAACTTTACCGGCTTATGATCGATTAGAAACTAAACTATACCGCAGAATTTTTGAACAAGATTGCACCAATTCGAGAAAATCGAAACAAAAATTGAACAAAAAGCACAATCAAAGCAACCGGAAAAAACAAATGAGAATTTTACGTGAAAAAACCCGAAAATGGGGAAAAAAAACAACGAAGTCATACCGCCAGAAAATTTCACTAAGAAATTCAGAATATTTTGCATAAAACTTATCCAAATTTTCTCTCCACACAAAAAAAAAACTTATAGAACTCACTTCACAATCTTCCCTCCCCGATTCGATGCAAGAAAATCACGCTGAATCACTAAAATCAACCTCTTTGACACTCCTCACCTTCACCGGGATGCTCGTTGAAGAATTTAGAAGAAAGAAACACGAAAGCACAATTACACCGCTCGAATCAACATTAAAATCAGAATTCCCAAAGCCAACCGCTCCTGACGCTTAGGCGCCCAAACTTGGCACCTAAATGCCAAGCTCTTGAGTAAGAAAATCTCACGCCCAATAAAAGTGGCGTTGAGCGCCCAAGGCCGGCGTAAAAGAGCCAAATTCTCTATTTGCGCCCATAGCACGGTCGCAAAAGTTCTCATAAGGGAGAAATATTTGCATACGAACTACGCACGTAGAGCTGCGTGCATAATAATCTCTCAATAACCTCTGTTTCGCAGTTATTAGGGGGTTATTGGGAGGTTATTGAGGTATTAATTTCAATAACATATAACCCCAATAACCTTCCAGTAACCTTCGTGGGTTCTATTTTGATGTTATTCATAGGTTATTATGGGGTGTGGGATTAATGGAGTACACACGCAGAGCAGTGTGTGTATTTCATATGCAAATATTTCTCCTCATAAGGGGGGCAAAAAAGAAGCAACGCCCAACAATGGTTGAGACCTCTCAAGAAGCCGCGCCCAACAATGGGTGCTTAGGCCATGGACTATCGGGGTGCTTTTGGCTCCACAAACACAACAAAACCATTTTTCCAACCAAACCTTCAAAAGAAAGAAATTCAAAATAGCCATTTTTTTTTCAATATCAAAATATTACTCCATTTAACAGCTTCCTACAAGCAAAAGCTTTGTCAATTTGTCAAAAGAGATCCCACAAACAAAGATGAGCAGAATCTATTAAATTCATATTGTTTCAATTATTGGCGAGGATCTGCCATACAAAAGAACATGCATTTTTAAAGGAACTTCATGCAAGAGGGCAGATACACGATCAGTGAAATCAGGGAGGGTTTGCTCACCTAAATTTGAGGAAAGTTTGATATAACTTCAATGTAATATACCCCAGAATTCTTCAGCTGCAATTTTGCCCCCTTAAAATTTAAGACAATATAATTTGCCCTCTCTCACATAAAATCATAATTTCATCACTGTGCATAGTTAATAGATTGGAGAAAAGCGCCCAAATGATTCTTTGATTATTTGCAGAGAAAGTGCAAATTATTCATGACGTTTAATTGGGGGTTAAGACAATCCTACCTTTAAAAGAGTGTTAGAATTTTTTCAGTTCATAAGAAAAAACAAAGAATTAATTTATCATTTTATGGGGAATTTACATACATACCACCCAATTTCAATATCTTTATACATCTAACAACTAAACTTCATTTTTTTTACATTTATGCCATCTAAATCTTTAATACCACATGAAAAATACCCATTTAAACCAATAAAAAGTAAAATACATCTTTTCATACGTCAGTAAGATATGGCATGAATGGAAAAAATTTAAGTATACACATGTAAATACATTAGAATTGCGTGAGATTTACGTAAATCTTTCAATTAGTCGGAAGACAATTTAAGCACTTTTTTCAATAGATTGCAGATAGAACTCTGCCAATATCTCACTTAAATATGAAAATTAGATCAAGGCTCATAAAAGCCAGAAGACATTCCAGGAGCCGAGGAACTAAACACATAGACAATGACTGAAAATGTGACGGCTAAGAATTGAATGACTAATATTGCAAAAATACAAACATCTCGCGAACATCATAGCTCACAAAATCGCGAAATAATCAACTAGCAAACAACGGCTAAATATAGCCAAACCAGCAGCAACCAACCCTACCAGTTCAGCAAAACGGCCATCCTATAGGGATCACAACAAACCGATTCAAGAAAACGAGAAACCCATAACCAAAATCCGCACGGAACAAAGAAAAAAAATCAAAAGACACGACCGAATTCAAAGCAAAAAAAAATTGCAGAGATAATGGAAAATCGGAGTACCACCTTGAAAAGACCGCCAACAGGTTCTCACTCAGCAGCCGCCGGAGAAGCTACAGAACCTCGGCCTCTACCTTCTATCTATCATCGGTGGATGAAGTAGGAGAGAAAGAGCGGGGAAAGAAGAGAAACAGAAGAAACCGGTGGGGACAAGCAATGCGCGACACATATATATACTCGATCAATAGAGACGAGAAAAGGGTAAACGGGATCAACTAAAAGCTTCCGTTTCAGATATTGCAAATCCGAACTCGGACGGGACGACAGGGATCGTTTACCAACACATCAGACTCAGAGCTGCAACAAAATTCGCCGCGCGCCTCTTCGGACAAGTTACTCCTTGCGTGTAATAAGAAAGAAAATGGATATATGGATTCGGTGTATCTTTGGTGCACGTTAGGGTACAGCGGAGCGAGAGCATGGCAAGTGGCAGCCGCTGGGATGTAGACATGTTCCAAAGCGCCGCCGCCGTGGATTTCGAGCAGGTAAAAGGTTACCCATGTAAAAACTAAAATTTAGGTGTTGGATATGTAAATACATAGGAGTTGAGTGGTATAAATGTAAATTTTCCAGATAAATATTCTATGAAGCACATTAAAAATAAAACTTATAATAATTTTTCTAAGATAAAATATAATTTTCATATGTATTTTTTGAGTTAATTATAACCTAAAATATTAAAAATGAAAACATCAAACTTTAATATTAGATATGTACATACAGAGAACTATGTGATGCTTGTAAATCCAAAAATTATGTACGCAGAGTTGCGTACGTCTGTAACCTACAAACAAGTTACAGGGAGGATTTTAAGAGGTTATAACCGCGTTATACTCCCTGTAACATTCCTGTAACCTACATGTACCTTCTAATAAGTTCCGCATTTCTGTTTTCATATACAAGTAGGTTACAGAGAGGTTACAAGGGGTATAACGCGGTTATAACCTCCCAAAATTCTCTCTATAACCTATTTGCAGGTTACAGACATACGCAGCTCTGTGTACGTCTTATGTACCCAATTTTTTTCCCCTTTTTTTTAAGCTAGTAACGGACAAATGTAGTTAGCCACACCCATGCGTATACATGATGATGCGATCTTAATGTTAAATCACATCCTATTAATATATTATAAGCTGAAAAAGGAATTAACGGTGTAAATTTGAGAATGGATACAAACAAACTTGTTTAGAAGCCAAAACCGGAGTTGTATCTGATAAAAAAATAAAGCACACAAATCATAATCAAGATATGGATTGGCGCCCGAAAGACTGCAAAAATTATTAATTAGGCCCATGCCTTGCTTGGCAAGAAAAGAATTTAAATTAGAAATCCTAATTAAGATTTGTCACTCTTTAAGTCTTTAGCCACCCATATGTTAATTTTCAATTGTCTATATATGGGATGAAAACAAAACTCTTTTGTTCTAAGTCCCCTCAGGTCACTGATTTGAATCCCTTCGTGTGTAGTGTATTGTACTCAAATATTTAGCACATGTTAGGGCTCATTTAGGTTGTGTTTGGGGCAACTTGTGCGTTATCCTGAAATACGGCCTGCGGGTCAACCGCAGGGTTCGACCCGCGGCCCGAGTTTAGTGTAAAAATGGAACCGCGTTTTCGGATAACAACGCAAAACGCTCTATTCAAACGGTACAACGACGTTTTAAAAAATGCTCCCGCACTTATAAGCTGCTCCAAAGGGACCCTTAATAGCCTTGAATCATTCTTTTACACACACACACACAGACCCGATTAGAAATCAGTTGATAGAATTTCACAAATGAATATTTTAATTTTTAAAAGTTAAAATGATGACATTTTTTAGGTGATATGAAAATTTTGGGGTAAAAAGTAAAATTTAAGCATTAGAAATGTAAATACGTAACTTATGTGGTATTTATGTAAATGCCCGGATAATTAATATAAATCACATGGCTTATAATATGATTTGATAAAATATGAATCACATTAATCACCTTTTGTGTACGTGACACGGTCTTCTCATATATTCCGCGGACACCTGAGAAATTTTGTATAAATTTGTTCAGTTAGACCGCCAGATTTTACTAGCCACTGTGACACGAAATGGAACTGAAAAAGCATTTTTTTGAATCGGAAAAGGCTGGTTTGATTCTCCCTATATAATCTTAGGGAGAGCATGCGAAGGCTCGCTTCCAGCCAAACCAACCTTAGCCTTCTCAAAATAATCTCAAAAACAAAGGACTTGAGATTGGGGAAGTCCATCCACGCCAAATTAATCATCTCCAACTTATGCGATATCATCGAGTCCAACTATCTCATCGATCTCTACGCCAAATGCAGGCACCTTTCTTCTGCCCGCCAAGTGTTCGACATGATGCCTGAGAAAAATGTAGTATCCTTCAGCTCGCTGATGGCGGGTTATTTCCACGATGGACGCCCATCCGAGGTGCTTTCCTTGTTTAAAACCATGGCTTTCGGTCTTTTGTGGCCTCGTCCCAATGAGTTCATCTTGGCCACGGTCCTCTCTTCCTGTTCCGACATGCAAGCTTTCGAAATGGGTCTGCAGTGCCATGCTTATGTCCTCAAGTCCGGATTGTTGTTTCATTCATATGTCAGAAATGTGCTGCTCCAGATGTACTCAACTTGCTCTGGTCTGGAAGATGCTCAAAAAGTCTTCCAGTCTGTGCCTGGAGCTGACATCGTCTCTCTCAATTCCATGATTAATAGTTTCCTGGAGCATGGACGGATGGAGGAAGCAATGGACGTTTTAATAAGGATGGTGAGCGAGATATCCCAGTGGGATCATATCACCTACGTCGCAGTTCTAGGCCTCTGTGCCGATTTTAAAAACTTAGTTTTTGGCCTACAAGCTCACTGTCAGATCTTAAGAAGAGGATTTGAGAAAAATTTATTCGTTGGAAGCGCCATAGTTGATATGTATGGAAAAAGTGGGGATTTTTTTGCTGCCCGGTCAGCTTTTAATGAACTTTCAAGTCGAAATGTGATCTCGTGGACGGCAATGATGGCTGCCTGTACTCAAAATTCATTCTTTGAGGAAAGTTTGAAGTTATTTCTAAAAATGCAAATGGAAGGCACTCAGCCCAACGAGCTAACTTACGCAGTTGCACTGAATGCTTGCGCAGGACTGGCGGCGCTGAGCAATGGTAGTTCACTGAACGCTCATGCAGAAAAATCTGGATATAAAGCACACTTAACCGTTCGCAATGCTTTGATTAACATGTACTCTAAAAGTGGCAGCATTGAGGACGCTCAGGAAATATTTAAAGATCTAACTTTGAAGAACACCATTACATGGAACAGTATGATTAATGGCTACTCTCATAACGGGTTTGGGAGGAAAGCGTTGGAGACTTTCCATGAAATGCTGGCAGAAGAGGTGGCTCCAACTTACATAACTTTCATCGGTGTTTTGTCAGCTTGTGGTCATCTGGGTTTGGTAGACGAAGGATTCTATTATATCAATCATTTCATGAGAAATTTGGGGATAATTCCTGGGGTGGAACACCATACGTGCATAGTTGGGCTCTTGTGCAGAGCAGGGCGTTTGGACGAGGCTGATAGATACATGAGAACTACAAATTCTGAGTGGGATTTAATTTCATGGAGAACACTGCTGAGCGCTTGTCAATTACATAAAAAGTTTGGACTTGGTAGAAAAGTCGCAGACTTCATTTTTCAGCTTTATCCTAATGATGTGGGCACTTATATCTTGATGTCCAATATGTATGCGAAGGGAAATAGGTGGGATTTAGTTGTGCAAATTAGAAAATTGATGAGAGAAAAATGCATAAAAAAGGAACCTGGAGTCAGCTGGATACAGTTCAGGAACGAGCTGCATGTGTTTGCTTCAGAGGACAATCAGCATCCATTGATAGATAAAATTCACAGAAAGTTGAATGAGTTGTTTGATGAGATAAAGGCGATGGGTTATGTTGCTAACACAGCGAGTTTTCTGCATGATGTGGAGGAAGAATATAAGGAATGCTATCTGAAGTTTCATAGTGAGAAGTTGGCTGTTGTTTTTGGGCTTATAAGCACGTCTTTAGGAGCTCCAATTTATGTTATTAAGAATCTTAGGATGTGTGAAGATTGCCATGTTGTTATAAAGCTGTTTTCGAAGGCTACGAATAGGAAGATGGTGGTCCGAGACGTTAATCGTTTTCACTGCTTTGAAGATGGACTGTGTTCATGCGATGATTACTGGTGATATTGGTGATTTGGTTTCTTGGCTTAAGCCGAACGAGGAAAGATAATTTGTCCCTTGAATTCAAAAATGAATTATTGAAATAATTTATAATGTATGGTAAAGATTATAAAAGTTAATTGACAGGATGATGCTAAATTATAGAGCATGGGTTACTGGCTTATGAATAGTGAAAAATGTTGAAGAAATAATGAAGAATGATCTGCTCCAAAACTCATAGAAACAAAGTGAAAAATCTTCGAGTATCCGATAAGAGTTTTTAGATTGCTCAAAAAGGAATAAAAAATGTTGATCGCCAGAATTACTTGATGATGCTTAGATGAGTGCGTAGGAGTTAGTAATGAATGATGATTGTTAGCATTAATCAATTGGGAGAATTTTAGGATTTCTAATAAATTCAAGGGCACTCTCCACTCTGAATCACTTCCATGGTATTTATAATTTTTAGCTTGATTTTTTTTTTTTTTTGTGAAAATTTCAAAGTTTATTGGATGACATTATGATTCAGAAGGCTTGAGCTCGTTAAATTCATCTCATCAAGCTTCAAATTTCAACCATAAAGTTAGTAAAAAAAATTAACAAATTTATAACTTTATTACAAAAAAAATCATAATTCAAACAATTTGGGGCTTTGAGATCCGTTTTTGTCAGAATGTATTCTTGATACCATCAATTGTCTTATGTATTTGATCAAAAAATTTATTGAAATAGAAATATATTCTAGCCTGGAAGATCTACGACTCTGTATACACAAATACAAGTACATAGGACTTTTTAGATGATTACTGAGTCAACTCACCTAATTGGCCGAATCGAGCCCAACTTGTTGAAGTGGCTGAACTGAGCCCACCTGCAGAGGTGGTTGTACTGAGCCCATCTATTGAAGTGGTTGAACTCATCTCTTTCATCCATGAAGGGGCAGCCTACCTGCCTAGAGAGACAGCTATGGGATATGATCATCATTACCAACAATGACGCGGGTCTATCCACTTTAGAAGGACCATCCGGCTTTCAAATCACAATTTTTTCATCAAGACACCGTGAATGGGAGTCATATAGTAGCAAAGACAATTTTTTTTTCTTGTGTAGAAGGAAAGTCAGGCTAAGAGATAAGGGGGACTTTTTTTCTCAGATTTTTGTCTTTCGTTATCACTCACTTTTTTTTCCAAGAAAGCCCTATAACTCGAAAAACCTCTGACGAGCCCAATATTCTGGCTTACCAAAGGCTCAAATTCAATAGATAACTTCGGAGATTTTTATGGGTCTCACAGCCATCTCTCTCTATCTCTCTCTCTCTCTCTCTCTCTCTCTCTCTCTCTCTTCTACATTTCGTCCACAAAAGCAAGATTTTCACCAGTTCATATATATTCACAAACAATATCAGATCATATGTCCTAAAAAGATTCAACATCTTGAAAGGTTCAGTGAGCATAGAGTTCATACTCAAAATCTGCAAAAAGATCTTCATAAAAGAAGAGATGAAGGAAGACAATGAATTGCACTAAGAAGTTTGTGATGCGGTAGATCCAAACTAAGGGATCAATTATTCAAAGTAATGCATGAAGCAAGAAAAGCTTCGATATCCTGTTCTCAAACCGAGCCCATAACTCACACTAGATCGTCAGGATCTGTGGTTTCTCAACAAGATCTACCAAAGCATAAGTAGCTTGTGCAGGATCTATAGAGAGTTGGACCAAGAAGAGCTCTTGATCCGTTCATTGAACAAGGAGTGAAAGGAAAGGTTCCCCCGCATCTTGAGGAAGGAGAGCATGTTGTAGCCTAGACTGAAGGAGAAAGGAGGAGGAGGAGAAGACTTACTCATGAGTCCTAATCATTCAGATGAAGAAACCAGGAGAAGAAAAAAATGGACACCGAAAGAGAACACATTTTCAAGTGAAAATGAAGAAGTCAGGGCACCGAGAAAGTTTAATATTTCTTCCATAGAATCTTACAACGGAAGATCTGACCCTACCGACCACCTAGCCTCATTAAAGTTAGTTGTCTGCCCGCTTGAAATAAATTATGCTTTAATGTGTCATTTATTCTTTATGGCATTAAAAGAATCAATTTTATGCTCGTTCAACTACTTGTCAATAGGGGTGATCATTTGTTTCAAGGAGTTCAATCGTATGCTTGTATCACAATTCGTTAGCATGTAAAATTTTCCCAAGACGATGAGCCTCAAAAGCTTCATTACTCCATTCTAGCAAGAAAAGCTAGACTTATAAGATCTAGAGCTTGTCGTCGCCTACATTGCTCTGGCTCAAGACCTCTGCAAGGATATGTTCTGTTATGCACTTGTTCTACCTAAGCTAAAAACATTGGCTAAGATTTTAGAGATCGCAAATAGTTATATTTGTGGGGGAGTATAACTCTTACCCTGGTCCCTCTCGTTCGTTTGAACCTAAGAAAAAGTTTTGAAACCGGTCTCGCGACTACCATTGGAATGCAAAGAGCCTTTTTAAGAAGTAAAAGTTTGGGAATGCTCTTAACCAACATTTTCACCAAGAACGAAGCAACAAATATGATAGGATGGTCAAGAGAAGGCCAAAGTAAGGTCAAGAGTTGCTTCAATTTCCTCCTACTTAAGTCGCGCCTCCTAGAATTTCGATGGTCAAAATTGTGGAGGTCATCCAGAATAAAGATTTCTTCAAGAAACCCTTTTTCATGAAGGCAGGGACTAACGCTTGTGATCCCAAACAATACTACACATATCATCCGAATCATGGACACGACACCAAAGAATGTAACGACTTTATAACCTGATCAAGGAAATGATCAAGGTGAGGAAGCTAAAAAAAATTTACGACCTATAAAGCTTGCACCCAATGACAGGGAATATTACCTACCAAATGTACTAGTGAGTAAATTTCTCCAACATGACCGGTTCATGTTATCAATGTCGTACCAGCTATCTTTCAAGGAAGGGGGAATGCCTAAAGCCCCACAAAGGTCTAGTTTGACAAGGCTAAGATTAAGAGATGTGTATTCAACCACTTTAGCAAAGTGCATTACACCAATCCATCCGTTTACCATTTTCTCAGATGTTGCTTTGCATGTCGGGAGAAATCCTTTAAATAGATCGTCAAAATCACTCGATGGTGATTAGATGAGTGCGGAGGAGTTAGTAACGAATGATGACTGTTGGCATTAATAATTAGGCAAAATTTTAGGATTTCTAATAAATTCAAGAGCACTCTCCACTCTGAATCACTTCCATGTTAATTATAATTGTTTCGCTTGATTATTTTTAGTGAAAATTTCAAACTTTATTGGATGACATAATGATTAAGAAGGCTTGAGCTCGTTAAATTTGACTCATGAAGTTTCAAATTTCAACTAAAATTGAGTAAAAAAATTCAACAAATCCCTAACTTTATTAAAAAAAATCTTAATTCAAGCAATTAGAGGCTTTGGGATTCGTTTTTGTTAGAATGAATTCTTTGATACAATCAATTGTTTTTTGTATTTGATCAAAAAATTTATTGAAATAGAAAACTAATCTAGCCTTGGATGATCTATGACTTTGTATACACAAATACAACTGTACATGACTTCTTACATGACTACTAAGTCAACTCACCGAATGAATTGAGCCCAACTTGCCGATGAGACTGAATCGAGCTTATCTACAGAGGTGGCTGAACTGAGCCCATCTATTAAAGTGGCTGAACTTATCTCTTTCATCCATAAAGAGCAGCCTAGCCTGCCTAGAGAGACAACTACGGAGATGCTCACCATTATCACCAAGGATGTTGATCTATCCATCTATAAAAGCATCATTTGACTTTCACATCACAATTTTTTCACTAAGACACCATGAATGAGAGTCATATAGTGCTAAATATAATTTTTTTTAAAAAAAATTTATTCTGCAAAAAAAAGCCAAGCTAAGAGATAAGGGGGACTCTTTTTCATATGTTTCTGTCTCTTTCGTCATCTCTCTCTCTTTCCAAGAAAACCCTGCAATTCAAAAAACCTCCGAAGAGCCCAATATTCTGGCTTACCAGAGACTCAAATTCAATAGATAACTTCTAAGATTTTTTATGGGTCTCACATACGTCTCTCTCTCTCTCAACATTTCCTCAACAAAAATAAGATTTTCATCAGTAAGTATGTATTCACAAACGATATGAGACCCTACGTTCTAAAAAGATTCAACATCTTGAAAGGTTCAGTGAGCTTAGAGTTCATACTCAAAATCTGAAAAAAAATCTTTATATAAGGAGAGATGAAGGAGGACAATGGATTGTACTATGAAGTTTGCGATGCAACAGATCCAAACTAAGGGAACAAGTTTCTAAAGTCGTGCATGACGCAAGAAAAGCTTTCATATCTTGTTCTCAAACGAGCGTAGAACTCACATTAGATAGTCAGGATTTGTGGCTTGTCAACAAGATCTATCAAAGCTAAGTAATTTGTGCAGGATCTTGCGGAGAATTGGACCAAGATGAGCTAATGCCCCTTCCCTTGAACAAGGAGTGAAAAGAAAGGTTCCCTCACATCCTAAAGAAGGAGAGCATGTTGCAGCCTAGGCTGAAGGAGAAGACTTACCTCTGAGACCTGATCATTCAGATGAAGATACTAAAAGAAGAAAAAATGGAGACCGACAGAGGACACATTTTCATGAGAAATTGTGGAAGTCGGGTCACCGAGAAAATTTAATATTCCATCCATGAAATCTTACAATGGAAGATCTTACCCTACCGATCAACTAGCATCATTTGAGCCAGTTGTTTGCCCGCTCATAATAAATGATGCTTTAATGTGTCATTTATTATTTATTGTGTTAAAAAAATCAGTTTTATGCTAATTGAATCACTTGTCAGTAGAGGTGATCACTTCCTTCAAGGAGCTCAAGCGTATGTTAATAGCTCAATTCATTAGCACATAAATGTTGCTCAAAAACTCTCAAGCTCTCCTGAAGATTTGATAAGAACCCACAAAGAGTCTGAAAAGCTTCATTACTCACTTCTAGGAAGATGTTAGACTTATAAGATCTAGAGATTGTCATCGCCCACGTTGTTCTAGCTCAAGAACTCTACAAGGACATGTTTTGTTACACGCTGAGCTCTTAGAGCTCGCAAATTTAGTATAACTCCTACCCTAGTCCTCTCGACCGTTAGAGTTCGAGTAGTTTTGAAAACAATCTCGTGAATACCATCAGAATACAAAGAGCCATTTTCTAAGAAGAAAAAGTTTATAAATGTTTTACATACTTACAACTCAATTCTTATGTATTTAAACTTCAATTTATATATATAAACCAGTTATGCACGAAAACATATCATAAATTTTTAAACAATTATAGTAGTGTTACTTCTGATATGAAATAAAATTTGAGAGAGATGTAAAAAATAAATCTAGGTGTTATATATGTATATAAGACTGGTGGGATGCAAGTGCCCCAAAAGACATTCAATGAAAAACTTTCACCACCCAAAATAGATACATATTTATTGTAAAAAATTATTAACAATTTAGCTAGCATTTTTTTCAAAATTGTCTAAAACTAAATCGAAATTCCTCTACAGACACCGAAGGTATTAAATCTACATTCAAGACGTCAAAAAATAATCCGAAAGACTCGGTCAAAATAAGAACATCAATGAGTTAAAAAGCCGTCCTGCCATATTATGTAGCAATAGCACAAACAATTGTTCAACGGAATGTCAATAATTTTTGTGGTCAAGCAAATTAGTTTCTAGGAAAAAATTTGTGCGCGTACGTAGCGCTGCAAACGATATTATACCGAGGGTACAAGGGAGTTATATCCGCGGTATAAGTCCTTATAACCTCCCTGTGACCTTCTGTAACTTACCTGTAACCTACTAATAAATTCTTAATTTATAATAACAGAAGCGTGAAAGTTATTTTAGGTTATACGTAGATTACAAAAGGTTACAAGGGATTATACAACAGATATAACCCCTTACACCCTCGATATAACTTCAATATCGTACGCAGCGCTGCGTACGTCTATCACAGGCAAAATTTTTCCCCCACCACATAATTACATTAAAATAATACTCTACCAACCAATAATAAGATGAGACCAACTCCATACCAACTTCAATAAAATATATCAAAGCTTTTCACTGCCCAATAAAATATTTCAAGTAAAACTTCCCTACAATAATATCTGCCATTTACAAACATACCCAATAAGTCATGCATTTATACTTCTAACACCTAAATATTTATATTTACATAACGCCCAAAATTTTAACATCATATTAAAAAAACCACAATCATTATTTTTTCATAAGAAACACCTCATGAATAGATTTACGCACGAAGGTATCAAGGAAGAAAGATTTTGGGTGTTAGATACGTAAATACAAAAAAAATTTGTAATATGTATCATGTATGTAAACTTTCCAAAGAATTTTGATTGTTCTGTTGATCATGCAAATGGAAGACTCAGGCAAGAGCTGAGTTTTGTCAGCCACAAAACCAGGCCCCAGGATTAATCAACAGTCAATAAACCATCAGCACATTAACGTAAAATAAGTTCATAGTATAATAAAAAATCAGGGTTATACATTTTTTTTTCCCCACCAAATCATTTGATTCTATCCACCTTCATCTAAAGGATTCATTAAAACAAGCTACAAGCCAGCGATTCGTTTCTGGTTGAAAATGGCTCAATTATTGTACCATGTATATTACAATCTAATATGTTGCAGCACTAGTCTTAACCTCTTGATTTGTTAGGAATAACTAAAAGAATGATGAGATACCATTAATTCAAATATTGCATCTCATACCAGTTCTCCTTTTTTTTTTTTTATGATACAACTCCAGGCACCCTTTGTGTGAGGTTTGAACACTCCAGTTTCAGTAGGAATAACACCTTCAAAATTACAGAGGAGGGCAACAATATGGACATTTTCAAGAAGCCCTTCTTTCGCAACCGACACAACTCCCAACCGATTCCAAGTATGAAAAATAAATTAGAAATGTGATGAAGCGTTACAGGAATAGTTGGGGGAAAAAAGAACTACCTCTGCGAACCAGTTGAACCTAAATGATCAGCAGTATAAATCAATATGCACATCAGCTACAATCATAAATGGCTTGGCCTCCTTTTTCCAGAATCTGTTCTCATTTTCTTAACAGGCTTAGCCCACTGAACCTCCTTCAAACCTGGAGAAAAACCACCGCCGCTTACATCTGGATGAATCATATGAGGAGCCTCTCGCTGGAATGGAGTCCTTGCACTTCTGTTTGCCATTGGAGACCTGTTCTGATGAGTTGGGGGCAGGTGTGGTCCCATCCAACGAGGGGTGACTGGGGAAGAGGGGCCCACTCGCTGCTTATCTCTGTCATTCCTCCGTTTCTTGCAGATGACGAGATCCGCTGGGTGTGCAGGAGCGGCAAAGTCCTGCCTATCCTCTTGGAGGGTGGAGGCATGTCCACGAGCCTTGGTAGGGCTAGGGTTTGGCCGGGATTCCTCCATCTGAGAATGTCTTCTGCTTTGGTTCAACAATGTTGGCTTTGGCGATGGCGAAGCTCCGGTTGATGTAGAAGCGAAGAATGCAAGTGCACTTCGAGCTTCTCGGAAGTCGGACTCAGGAAAAGCGATCTTCATGATATCGAAGAATATGTCGTGAATCGTCACAGCTTCGGACTTCACCTGTACAGCGTTCAAACAAACATAATGTTGATTAAGGAAATCGCTGCAGTAAGGAAGCATCAAAGATGCCCATTTCCAGCATACGAGTTGATCAAACAGAGGGAAAACCAAAACACAAACTTATTAGATTCATTGAACTCCACATTTATTTCATAATTACAGATTAACTTTTACTCGAAGGGATTTATCGCATTTAACAAGTTGAAGTTAGCTTATCTGGTGATTAATTATGGAATATAAGAGCATGCTAGAATTCACAAATGCAGTGTAGAATAGTAGTATAAATAACAATGTTTAAGAATAAAAGAATCCCTGGGCGCACTAACAATGAGCATCTTGTCCCAAGCATTCAATGTTTTTATGCTTGCTATGACTTGCATCATGATTCGTTTGGTATATAATACACAGTGTTGAGTGTTAAAATAAGCTCATGCCCTAGAGCAAAAAATGTTAATGAGAATAAAAAAATAATTAACAAAGAGAACACCAATAAAAGAACACACGAGTTTATGTGATTTGATGAAATCTATTAATATACAAAGTTACAGACTTTCTGTGCGAGGTAAATATCCAAGTCCAAATTATACAAGATACAAATATCTATCCAGCCAACTAGATTACTCCCTTTATTTTACTGTATTATTTCTCCAAAATTGAGCAAATTCCACCACCGGTTATGCTCATAAAAGTAGAGAAAATTTTTCTCCGCCTATCTCAAAGAACCCATCAATCATCCCTTGCGAGGGTAGATGATTTCCCTTTTTAAATCTCTAGCTTCTATCACCTATGGCCCTTCAGCGCTCAAATGACAACCACCCAACAAAAAAATTTGTGTAAAGTAATTCCAAGTATAGCTATCCGTTAGAAATTACATTTGGAAAAAATTTATTCCTATTAGAAATTATGAGTATTAGATTTATCTCCTAATATAATTTTATTTCCCGGTAGAATTTATATTTATTTTCTTGGATTTGATTTATTTCCTTTCCTATTTTAGGTTTTTTATTTTATATTGTTTCTTTAATCTCCAAATAATTAATATACATTGATTAATTGGAGATATTAAGTGTTATATCTTTCATTTTCTGTTATTTCTTTTTCATTGTCTTTGCTATTATAGGATTCATCTAAGAATTATTTATGTCTCTTTTCATATCAATAAAAACATTCAGCATTATTCTGAATTTCAATATTTTAACAATGCCTTGAAAAAACCTAGAGACTTCGGCGGAGGAGATCTCCTGTAGTCGGAAACTTCCATATTGCCGACAAACTTTCCCTGCAGAGTCCTAGTCGCCAGAATTCTCTCCTTGCAGTTCTTTAGCCACCGGAGTTCTCACTGTTGCGATAAAAATTTTGGGTGTACTTCAAAACATCCAACTTCTATAGTCTTAACCATTGTTGGAATCCTACAAGTCAGGTAGCTCTCTCATGTTTCCGATCTCCGTCGTAGGTTTTTCTGGACATGGCTCCTTCCTGAAGGAGAACGACGACGATTCTGCGGACAATGCAACAACGAAAGTCGGTGAGGATGAATGTCGGATCTGTGGAGATGTCAACAATCTTCAGTCGGTGTTGCCTTCCTCTCTCTCGTCTTCAATTAAAAAGTTGGGGGTTACAGAAGATGACTACAAGTGGTTGACGTATCTCAAGGCTCCAGAGAAGGGATTTGCTATCGGCACAGGGATCAAGGGTGGTCTTGCACTTTACTCTAACTTGTTCGACTGAGGAGACAGCGTCTGTGTCACAAATGCGGCAGCACTGGTGAGCGCAGCGAAGGAGACATTAAGATATGGCTTATTTTTGGGGGCCTTTGCTAGAACTTTTCTTTCTGTGGATGAATTGATTACTGCTACTTGGGGGCACAAAAGAACTGTAGGATGGATAGCATTGCTTGCAGGTGTTGTGGCTGGTCCTTCAATACGCCTAACAAGATTGGAAACACAACATACCAGTTTGGTTGTTTATATATTGATTTGTGCTTCTGTTATGGCATCTAATTGTGGGATAAAAAGCCAACATTTTGGAAATATCTGTAAACCTTTTACTTGGTCAGATGGTGATGCATACCTTCGGTGTCTCTCCTCAACCCAAATCATATATGCTTACATTTTGAAGCTGGAAAACCTCTTGCTATAATATAAAGCTTTTCTTAATAAGCATGGTAGAAAAGCTGCTACTATTCTATAAGAACTTGCAACCAACGCACAAATTATGAACTTGGATGTGATAGAGAACCACTACAAATCTATTGGATCTGATCTAAAACTAAACCCAAACATGAAAGTACCTTGCTCACTTATTATGACAATCATTCCTGCAACAGGCCCTCCCCTGAGGCTTTTCCAGACAATAGGCCCTTCTCCAGAGCTTTTCCTTGCAGCAGACCCTTCTCCATCCAGATCATTTTACTGCAACTGGCTCCCCTTCGGAACTTTTTTCCTGCAGCACGCCTTCGTCCGGAACATTTTCCTGTAGCAGGCCCTCCGGAACTTTTTTCCTGTAGAAGGCCCTCCTTCAAAGCTCTTCACTGCAATAGACCCTCCTCTGGAGCATTTTCATGTTGTGGGTCTTCCTCCGGAGTTTTTTCCTAAAACAATACTACCTCAAGAGCTTTTCCTTTTTTCTTTTTGCAGATCATACCTTGCAACTTTTTCTGGAAGTTGTCAACTTCCCTCAATTTCCCCTGCAACATTACTTATAGGAGACTTCTGCATAACTATAGACATTGCAACAATTACAATCAAAGACAACTGCAGTCAATTAGAAGTCAGTTTTTCCTGTGGGTTGTCTACTCCCCTGCAATATTACATGTAGAAGCCTTTTGTCTACCATCAGACACAGCGAGAATTGCAGTAAAAAACAATCACAGTCAACTAGAAGTTAGCTTCTTCTGCAGATTGTCTACTTCCTTGCATACTCTCCTACAACATTACCTGTAGAAGACTTCCACTTATCTACAGACACTACAAGAACTGCAGTCAAAGACAACCATAGTACATGATGAAAACTTCATATTGTACTTCGAGGGATCTTCCTCGTTATTGTTTGATGTTTTCAAATCCAAGTTGAACATGATTTTCAACCATGTTTCAACTTTGACAGAGTGTTAAAAGTTATATTAGGAAATAATTTATTCTTGTTAGAAATGAGTATTAGATTTATTTACTAATATTAACTTTATTTCTCAGTATCATATAGATTTATTTTCTTAGATTAAATTTATTTATTTTCCTATTTTATGTTGCTTCTTTTATCTCCAAATAATTAATATGATATGATCAATTAGAGATATTAGGTGTTATATCTTTCATTTTCTATTTTTTTTATTGTCTTTCCTATTCTATGATTCATTTAAGGGTTTATTTATACCACCTTTCATATCAATAAAAATATTCCGCAGTATTCTGAATTTAAACACTACCAACTTCCAATCATTCCATTGAAAACTTTTCCGATCTTTGCCTCCATTGCTCTAAATCAAGCCAAATGAAGGGAAAAATAAATAAATGATGAACATATATTACCAAAAAATGCTTAGAGGGTTATAAACTTGTGCGAGTAAAATAGAGAGTTTTAGGTGGACGAGTAATATACTTCTTAAGGTTACAATAATGCGCAAAAAACACAGGAAATAAGTCAAATAGTAGGTTTTAAGTTTACAATCAAGATTGGTGAGAAAATTCTCTTCACATTTCAACCATCAGAATTAAAGAGAAAATTTCAGTATTGTGCCATAAGGGAGTCTCTTTGCATGACACTCCAACTCAATCATCCATAATAGTTAATGAGTTTTATAGTACTTCAGTTCATAAGCGGTATGCTTATCTTCATTTACCACCACCCCTGCCTTGTTACCTTGTTGCTCATTGATCCTCAAATATCATATTACCTATAATGCTCATTTATTCTCCAATAAATCCCAATTGATAAATACTTTTATCTCACATTGCACCTCCAGAATTACTTGCAATAGATTCAAGTTGGATGGTTGAAGTGGCGGAATGCATCAGGCCTGTTGTGTGATAAAAAAATACCGCTTAGACTTAAAAAGGAAAATTTTAATGTTTTATGGCGTATAATGTTGGCCTATAAAAGAGAAGCATAAAACTAAGTGAAGTGTTACTGAGATAAGAATGCTAAGGTGGATGAGTGACTTTACACTTAAAGACAAAATGTAAAACTAATAATATCCATGAAAGGGTTGGCGTGGCTCCAAAGACAAACAAAATTAAAGAAAGTCATCTTAGAATGGTTTGGTCACATTAAACGCAGACCATCTGATGATCCAGTTGGGAGAGTAAAAGTTTTAGATTCGAATTGTGTTAAGAAAGATAGAATTAGACCTAAAAGGGCATGGGCAGGTTGTATAAAAATCACCTTAATTTATTAGAATTAAATGAAAATATGAAACTCAATAGAACAGAATGGAGAAATGGATTCATGTAACCGACTTCACTTAGTGGGATAAAAGCTTGTTGTTGTTGTTGTGTCCTTGTTTCCACATACCATCACTATCATACTCTTGGCACATTCTATGTATCAATACAAAAGGTTAGATGTAGCATTCTTCAACAAGCTACTCGATTGAAATTAGGTTCTTCTTCAAGCCAAGAACATGCATTATATCACGAAAAATTCACATGGCCTCTTTACTAGCTTAGGTTTGCACAGTACAAACTCGCAAATATTTATGAGATCAACATTAGTAAGATAGATCTTGAAATCTACTACAAAATAATTAGATACAGAACTTTAATGTGAAGATGAATGAAAATAAACATTTGTCTGAGATCCAACACTCTACTAAACCATCCATAATAAGAATCAACACATAATAGAGCTCTTCACTTGCAACATTCACATATTCCTCCAAATAATTTGAACTTTATTCATCTTTTCCCCTATGGACAAACCCTTTTCACTTGGCAAACCTTATCACATTCCCAACATGAATTGTTATGAACTTTGGATTAGTTACTCTATCGAGATTTAGACCAACATCCATTGGTATCTCTTCTTTCACTTTAAATTTAAAACGATAGAAAATTCATCACCTAATACTTGATTTTGAATATCATTACTCAAGATCAGTTCATGAACATCACCAAGTGTCAGCTTTATATAGCACCAATACTTATTGAAAATTGTCATAATTCAAGCCCAACTTTATGGTAGTAATAATAACAAACTTAGGTAGAAACATTTTCATCAGAGTTGTTATCAACCAAAAATAATTGACTTAAACAATCAAATTAAGTGCATTAATTTAATACTGTAGAAGCATGTCATCAACCAACATGACTCATGAGATTTAAAGATTTTCTCATGAGCTAAATTCTTGTCATTAATTGATCGGCCCTCACTTTCCAATATCCCGAAGGCGTTACTCCTGCTTTTTTGAAAGAACTCCGAAGTGCTGAGCATCGATAATCACGAGAATGAGAAAAATAATCTTCAAAAAGAATAAAAACAAAAGAACATAAAAATTACATGGTCAATTGAGATCAACCTTCATTCACCACTTCACAAAAATACAAATATCTACTAGTCCAAAGATGAATAATAGAAACAGATATTTGTTCCTCCAAATATTTATCTTATTTTTATCTCATCAAAATTATTCTCTCTTACTCTCATTTCAAACTTTAGCAAGAAAGCTTCACAGTCTATGCTCACCGGAGATGGAGAAAAAAATAAGTTGCTCCTATATCAACTACCTTGTCAGTCGCCAACCCTTATCATGTCACCAAGTTTCGATTTTGAAGGGAAAGTGTCACTTCAAGCCCTTCAATGTTGTTTTTCTACTACCCAACAAAGAAATCATTGTGCAAAACATCGGCTAAACTAAATATCTTCCAATCATACCAACAACCATTTCTATGACCCTTCCCTTTATAGATAATCAATGAAGAAAGGATGTATTTTTAACAACAAGCTATCAACTCCTTGTATAATGCTTATAGGTGGTCAATAACAATCTTCTAGAAGTAAGGTAGACGGTATCAAGTGGCAGGTAACATGTTTGTAAAATTTAGGACAATCTTATAAGAATTCTTGAGAAAAAACACAAAACAAAACCCATGTTCATTGACAATGCAATAATTTTTTGTGAAAATTGTCTCTATAGCAAAATGAGCTTTATTCAATGCTGCAAGCATTTAATAAAAATATTGTTAGAAAATGATTCAAAATATTTATGCTTTGAAACTCCATTGCTTCTCTTCTGTCAATGTTTTATATGCCAATAGCAGCTTCATGGTGCGTTTATGCGGCCAAATGCTTAAAGCCTATCATGCAACTATGGTATGGAAATCTAATGAGATCATTATTAGTCTTTTAATTTTTTTTTATTATTATATTTAACTTTTGACCCAAAAGAATGATATAGATTTATTGCATTCAAATTTATCATTATAGGCCTTTCATATAACTTCATAACGCTCTTACAGATTTAAATCTCTTCGTAAATTACTACATAAATTGTTAGGAAGAAAAAGAGATGCATGTTTTTGCAATATGAGATTTATGTCAAATCAATGATAAGAGCGACTCAAGGGCTTTAACTAAACAAAAAGAATATTTATTATCATAACAAGGATAGATCATATTAGCCATAACAACATAAGATTTTTTTCTTCGTGACGAAATGATCAAAAGTTTTATCAGTATGGATTTTTTTTTTTTAATTTTGCAAACATTGTACAAGCCTGGATTAATAAGCCCTTTCCCAAGAATATTGGCATTTTTATTTTGTCAATAGTTTTAAGTTCATCCAAGTCTATTTTACAAAACTCTATTGCCAAATTCTTACATTTTTTATTTTGCTTCTCATTTTTAAGTTTCTATATTTAAAACTCTTATTTGAAAGTAGAGTTTTAACAATTCTTCATTTTTTCCCTTCTCATCCAACAAAGCTAAAAGCCCTTATGGGCGTACACCTGTAAGCCTATAATTCTTGAGGGTGCTTGCTTTCCTTTCTATTTCTTTCATTACCATTGAGCTTGATTTAATATAATCTAATTCTTTTAAAAAAATAAAATTTCAAGTCTGGAGGTAAATTTGAATGCATTCAAAAAGATTTTGAGCCGATTCAAAATTGATTAGATTTCAAGCCAATTCAAAGCTCAAGTTCTGTCCCAGTAATTGATTTCAATTAGGGTGGAGCTCAACTAACTCAAACCCAACCCAGTATCATCCTCTACTTAAGCATAGTAATTTTTACTTCTTAATATAGTTTCTAATAAAATAAAACCAAAACAAACAAAAAGTAATCTAATTTGAATGTTCATCACAATTTATATCAATATTTTTCATTTAGTGGAATTACCCACCATTGATTCTCTTCATATAATGTCCTTGAAGCTTTCTAGAAAAACCAGCAACATATCCTATGATTAGTTGGGCTTTTATACTGGTTTCAGCATCCAAAAATAATAGCAATGCTGGGGGAATGCCTCCCATGGAACCACTACAATCCAATACAAGTTTAAAATAAAGATAAACGCTGCCATTGCCAATTTCCTATTCACTTTCTTGGTACACTTTGGAACAAGAGAACTATTAGGTCGAATAACCTCATTTGTCAGAGCATTTTGGTTCTTCCGAGTAAAAAGAAGAATCAGAAAAGCAGATGAAAACAACCATACTAATTGGATTTTCAAAATCCACAACCAAAGTGGAGGCTTAATTTCCGGACCAAAATACGATTTCAAGAAAAAGGAGGCCAAACAATAATATATAAGGTGAATTAGTAGCAGCAATGTACCATATTTGCATACTGACAAAAAAGTTTGAAATCACATCTCCAAGGCAGGTCTGAATAAGAAAAGAATACCTCATGAGAGTAGTTGCAATACTGAACAATACTTTTCAACATCAATTGCACATCTGCTATGAAATCCGCCACACCATTGTACTCTGCATTGTCCACCTTCAGTTCAATTTTTTGTAGGTCTAGGAGAGAACTAGTCCTTCCCATAAGACTCTTTACGCCATAATTGTCATTCCTCTTCAAAAAATTCCATAGGACAGGGAAAACTTGACTGCCATCTTTATCTACTCTCCTATGAAGCTTGCTGATCACATTTTTGCACTGCATTGGAAAGCTAAAAATTAGCTACACTACAGAGATTACATAAAACAAGATAAATTCATCCATCGAGATAAGTGAAATGCAGAACATTAATATATACTACTGCCAGTCTTATGTTTGAGAGTCAAGCATGGATGATTATAGTGACAAGATTTCCCATTGCCTGCAAAGAAATATAATGCGTTATGTGAGTAGAATAAAATTCCACCAGAGAGAACTCCAATTTATCGGCCCAATTGTTCATCTTCATGGCGAGGCAAATACAATACTGATTTGTTGACTGGCTGTTCTTATTATCAAAACAAAATGAGTCATCTGCAAAGAACGCATTCTATAAGGGGAAAATCAACGCAGCAAAAGGATTTAACTATGCTGGCATGCCATAACCAGATTCTCCGTGCTATTAAGAGAGTACTTCCACTGTTATTTCAATGCTCTGAGAATAATCAACGATTTAAAATGAAATATAGAAAAGAATAAGTGACTGGAACTTGCTTTTTTCATTCCCATAATAGGTACTTGCACACAGAACTACCTAGAAAATAATTGGAAACCGGTGAGAGGAGAGGGCAATTCTTAGCACTCTCCTTCAAAATGTTAAGCATATGCAAACCCTTTTTTAATTAAGCACATAAATCCATTGCATAAAATTTTCCTTATTTAGCGCACATGAATTTGTGGCTCCTTACGTTCTTTATTTAGCAATCATAAGACTTTCAAAAAAAAAAAACATAAATGCAAACAGTAGTTTAATTCATGTTGCAAGAGAATAGCTACTGAAATACGCAAATTTACAACACTGAGTTTCAGCAGTTCCATCCACTACTCCCACTTGTGATTTATATTGCATCAACCAGGGACAAAGTTGAAAATGTATTTTACTAATTCAGCGCATTCACGTTCACCCAAGCCACGCCGCTATCCATTCAGATTTGTAGGTTTTGGAATAATTTAAAAAAAAAACTATAATTATGCTTTCACTGGTACAACAAACTGATCTCACGAGCATTGTAGAAATTGAGCAAAAAAATGGCATATGATGTAGCTAAAGTCATGGATGGGAAGCAAAAAAGACATTGAGCTACGATGTGTTGACCAACACCTATTATGAAATAAAGGACTAGCATGGACCTTACACTTGGAATGCAAGGACCACAACCAACCATGACAACCACACCCATCAACAACAAATATAAAGCATGGCAAATGTTTCACTCAATTTGCACTTTCAGACATGAAAATACAAACACAAACAAGGTCTCACAATAGTAGAAATTGAGTCCTTATATCAAAATCTAAAAAGCCTAATATTTCTTAAACTCTAAATAACAATGGCATAGAACTGAAGATGCAGGAAAATTGGATATACAAGTTTTCATTGAAACATATAAATTACATATAACATAGGTGCATGTGATAATACTTGAGTTAAAAAAGCTACATATAATTAAACCAATAACAATTAAGTATAGTATGGAGAGTTCGAGCTTATATTATTAGTAAAGAAATCGATAAAGGCGCACCATAAGAGAGATGAGTGCTGGGGCGAGGAGGGAAAGGTAAGAAAGTTGACTGCAAAAAAAGCAAGAAATGTTCACAATAGATTTTAAAAAATACGATCATATCCAATTGCTAATATGTGCCACATGTAATTTAAGTTGGTGATATCCTTTCTTTTTACACTAAAAGATAAACTAACTCCTTAGCATTCAGCCTAGTTTCAATTTTTCAGGATTGAATAATGATAATAACATTATATACTTTGCTTGTGTTGAACTAAATTTGAACATAGCCACTATTGCTTCCAACTTTCATCTGTAAGCAAATCAGGCCATCAAATCAGTATAAACATTTTTTATATACATCAGTACAAACATAATGCTTACTAAATGATGTGAAAAAATTGGTTAAACTTCATAACAAGAGAGCCCCCATGCACAATAAAGAACTCCGAAAATCTTAAATGTAAAAAAAATAAAAAAATAAAAAACTTGTGTATATTTCAACAAAATCAAATTTAATGGAAGAATTTTTTTGAGGGTTGAATAATCTTTAATTTATCTATTTCATTTCATGACCAGTTTCTTAGTGGTGTTTGTTTCAATTATAGTTAGGGCTTCAAGTTGATCATCTAGGATAAAATAATGAAAAAAATTGACAATTTAAAGAGAGGTGTCCTATTCTGTATTGATTATACTTGAGATATCAATACATTATGGACACTTCTGATGCATGCCAAGAATTATCTTTGGATGTATATTATTATTACTGGCTTAAACCAGAACCTTTTTTTTTTCTCTAACATCTTAACATCTCGAACTTGTTATAGACAATGCTTTGACACTAAATGCATCTCATCAAGTCATAAAAACTAGTTGTACAAGTACTAAATACCTCACAACCACTTCCTACACAAACCACAGACCTTGATATGGTAATGTGCTGACTAATACATTCGTAGAACCAAAAAAGAAACGTTTAAATTTTAGATTCACCCGTCACTTTTATTTGCAAAAAAGTTTAAACTTTAAACAAGTTTTATTGAGAGTTTCAAAGATACTGTTTAAACTTTTGACACTAAATGCATCTCAACACGTCATAAACACTAGTACAATTACTACATACCTCACAAACACTTTCTACACAAACCACAGAAGTTGATATGGTAATGTGTTGACTAATACATTCGTAGAACCAAAAAACAAATGTTTAAGTTTAGATTCACCCGTCACATTTATTTGCAAAAAAGTTTAAACTTTAAACATGTTTTATTGATAGTTTCAAAGATACTGTTTAAACTTCAATTCTTTATATCCAATTATGAAAAAAAAAAAAACTCATTGTTTTAAGCATCACCCTCACTTCATCTCTCCCAACATGTTTTATAGAGAAGTTTCAATGCATATTATTTAAATGTTAACAACTGTTGTCCATTTTCAGAATAAAATAATAACATTTTTTAAAGCATTTAAGTCCTGCAATTCGGAAAAAAAAAAAACTTCATGGGGAAGAGCTATGGGACATCTGTTATAAATTTGCATCATTCATTTTGTACCTCACTCCGTCCTGCTTTCTTTGCATATTGTTTAAATTTTAATTGTTAATAACCAATTATGAACATAAACAATCTTGTTGGTTTAATCATTCAAGTCCTGAAATTTCAAACAAACAAAACGCTGCATAGGGAAGAAACAAAATAGCATGTTATTATTTTGCATCATCAATTTTGTGACTGTCCATATTCAGCTTTCTTTGCAAAGACGACTTCACCACAAATAAAGAAATGAATTCTTTAAAAATTCAAAAAAACACATGCTTCCGTTCATTTAAAAATTTATTTGTTGTGTTAGAACTGGATTTTGGATAAATTGTTGACTTCTAGTACTATAGCTAAGTACAAAAAGAAGAACCTCATATTTTCATTGCATCTATGTATTCCAAAATACAAGTTCAATAAAATCCTACAATGAAATAAGATTTACCTTCCTCTGAGTACTCTCTGGCATTTTGGAGCCCACGAAGTTTTGGCTGGCAATGCTAACAGCCCTCTCATTCCAACTTCCCCGGGAATGTTCAGCTGCATCCTCGGCAGGTCCAGAAGGACCAGAACCATAAGCTGACTTACCAGAATTTTCTTTTGTAACTGAAATAGCTTTTCTTGATGGTAAATTCCGTCTCTTCTTATATGAAGAAGAGCTCACATCCATCCTATCTAAAACCGGTTCAGAGAACATATCAACGTCTTGTTCAGTCCTTAACTGTAAATCACAATCATGATTCCTCTGCAAGAACAATTGCGACCCATGCTCTAAAAAATTCCTATTATTATTGGATTTCTCTACAAGTTTTTCAACATTATATCTTGGGTGAATCCGAATACTGCGCCTCCGTTTAAATTTTGGTTGAAGAACCTGTTCTTCTTCACCCTCTTCGCGGTCATGAGCCCAACTTCCTGATTGTTGAAGATCCATTTGAGAATCCCCTGACACAGCAATTTCTCCTTCTTCCAGCTCATCTGGCTAAAATGTTATAAAGGTAATTACATGTTTTAGAACTGATTGTAAAAGGATAAATTAAAAGGCAAACCACATGATTAGGACAGAAACATTTTCAACATACCGTACTTTTTGAAGAAGTGCATTTCCTAGATTCTAATGCAGAAAGTGATCCAAACTTTTGAGATGAAAAAGGCGTAACAGGTTGTGTGAGCTTTCTACTTCCAGAAGAAGAGCCCGTGGATCCTGCTTCTTCAGGCAAATGAATACTTCTGCGACGCTCCATTATCTGGGAGGAATTGTAAATACTATCATCGAAAATCAATCCTTCTTCATCTGATTGGTCCTTGTTACCTGGAGGCACATTAATTGCACCATTAAGCTCTTCTTCTTCAAGTTCCCCAATTTCTTCATCTCCATCTCCCTCTCCCTCTCCCTCTCCCTCACCCTCTCCCTCACCTAACAAATCTTCTGAGCTAGCGTCAAAATCTTCACCATCTTCATCATCAAATTCCGCATAAATGGAAAAATTTTTGGTATTTGATGAACCTCTTAGACGGCCCCTTCTCTCAGATCTATTTAGGGATGAACCAAAAAATATCTCAGTGTGATCCATATGAATATTGCTTTCCAGCATGTTCTTTGATGGCTTCTTAGATAAACTAGCAGTAACAGCATTTAACTCCTTAGTGGCAGCACAAAGCCACTTTGGAACTTCACTATATTTTACCATATCCCCCGTCCAATCAAATTCTTCATCCATTTGATCAAAAAGCTCAACCTCTTCTTCAGTACGTGCAATCATCCGATTCACCTCTTGAAGCGAGGGAACATCATGCACAGTTTCTTGGTATCTTTCTTCATCGTGTAACAATGTCTCTAAAGTCATTCTACGTTCTTCATGTGTTGTTCTCTGATCAAAACGACCAGCATTTATGACCTCATCTGCCATATCAATCTTATACTGCTGAATATTGTTCCGAATAAGACTCTCAATAGAGCCAATATATCTATCTTCACCAGCTAGTTCATCATCTAAATCTCCCCCACCACCAATCCTTATCTCATCTTCTCTTTGAAAGCTCGTTATTTTGTCAACAACAGCTTCCATATATATAACTTTAACCTCTCTCTTCTGCCCAATACGATGAGCCCTAGCAACTGCCTGTTCCTCATTTTGTGGATTTGGATCTGGATCATATATTACAACCGTGTCTGCACTTTGGAGATTTAGACCCCGCCCAGCAGCACGAATACTTAACAAAAAGATGAAACAGTCAGATTTAGGACTGTTGAAGTCCACAATTGCAGCCTCCCGATCCTCTAGGCTTGTTGTACCATCAATCCTTCTATAGATAAGATTGCGCCATTGCAAGTATTCCTCTATTATATCAAGTAGTTTTGTCATAGTGCTAAAAAGAAGGACACGGTGGCCAGACCTGTGAAGTTTTAGGAGAATTCTATCGAGAATCCAAAGTTTACCGCAAGACCTCACAATAAAGTCCTTGGAATAGTCGTAATAGGGATAGTTAAGAAGAGGATGATTACAAACTTTGCGCAGTTCCATGCATTTATTTTTAAGACTTTTATACATCTTGATCTGGTACATTGGGTTCCTCTGAGCTCTGTGCAGCTCATCCTCAGGGTTGACTCGAATGGTACCGGTGGACTTAATCCAATCATATATGGCACTTTGCATGGCTGACATTCGGTATCTCAACACGATGGACACCTGCAAACATATGAGATAATTACTTTAGACAAATCTACACTAATATTAAAAGAAGTTTCTCTCATAACATTCTTTTTATGAAAACAGAATGAATTCATTTTAAAAAAAAATTTAAGACATTAACATTAATTGCCCTATAAAAGTCAACATAACTCATTCAAGTAGCTACTTAATTTGTCATCTTAAGCTCTTGTGTGTATTTCATTTGCATTTCTTTGATTTATTAAAAAAAAAGTACAATCTTCATTTGAAATTACAAATTCAACATATGTCAATAATTTTATGCAAAAATAATACAAAAAAATCCAACTATCATTTTTTTCTAAATTAACTTCTAAATAATTTATACACTATCTATTCGTTATTCGTGACTATGTTTCCAGTTTTTTTTTTTTTTAAATTAACATTTTGTGAGAAAAAACAAACTCCATAGAATTTGTCTCCATCTAATTCCGCTACCATCAGTGCTCCACTAAGCCAGCGGTCCTCCACCAACCTTAGGCCTTTCATGCCCACCTTAGTGACCGATGGGATTATTAGTGTCATCCCATCAATACCTAAACACCAGTAATTATTCTATAATTATAATTCTATCATTTTATCAATCCATAAACTACTATAAATATTATTCCTTAATTTTATGTAATTCAAATTAAAAGTTCTCCTAAGATTATAAATATACTAAATAAATATTGAATTAAAACAATCAATCAATTCTTTTCAATTCTTGTCTTGGTCTTAAAGACTTTAGCTTTTCTCTTAGCATTTTTATAAGCCACCGTCATCACCGCCGAACTTGCATGACTTTATCATTGCATGTTTTCTTTCATTCCTCCTAATTTTTTATATATAAGACTTCATTATTGTAGCCTTATTGATTTTCTTTTTTTAATAACCAATTACTACAATATTTTTCCTTCCCGTGAATCAAGAAAATATGATGTTCCTTTAGTTTTAGGTTAATTAGAAACTTAAAGGCCAATACATGAGAAGTACAAAAAAATTCAATCAGCATATCATTTAAATGGAAAAAATTACTGTTAAGCAGCAAAAATTTATATGCATCTTCTTGAGGGGAAGAGAAAAAATGGGCATTTACTTGGCAACGAATCTCAACAAGCCAATCGAATATTCAATTGTTGGGATAGATAGAAGTCACCGGTGATGTCCAAGTTATTAAACTCCACGATTAGTAAGATAAGTGACACCAACATGTTCCTATTTAGCAAAAGAAAAAACTTGGGGTACAATAAATCAAGCGCATTCTAAAGTATGTAATGCAACCATAACCTATGATATCAAACTAAGATCTCTGCCGCAAAACATGGAGGATGATCGATCATAAAATATTTCAGTTTCCTATAGAGCCACGGCAAGAGATAAATCACCATTAATGCATCCAAATGGAATGCAGTAAAAATGCTGCTTATTAAAAAAAAGATCAGATTTATGATTTATCGCTAGATGAAAACTTGTCCTTGACGCTATAATAGTATAACTTCTTGGAAAGAATGATTTCCCTTCCATAAATGTAGTTTTTGCCACAATTTAAACAAAAGTAGAGAGAAGGGGGGTTATACTTGCCAATGACCCCTAAAAGAGATTAGACTCTAATGACAAGGGAGTTCAACAAAAGGTTTTACTCGAATGACAAAAGAAGACAACCTCAAGCACCCTATTTCAAAACTCTCCTCTCCTAAGGAGCACAAGCAACTATACCCAACAAAGAAGTTCGATAGAGATTTATTATGGTGCATATACTATAAAAAGGCTTAATCTAAATATAAAAATAATAATAAAAAAAAAAGATGTTTGAAGATTTATGATCAGCCACAAAGCAGAAGCTAGATGGCACTAGGAGGACAAAGAAAAGAACACGGATATGCATATGTAACACTTGTGAAGGAAACACAATAATAATAATAATAATAATAACCAATAAATCCATGAAGTTTCGGAAAAAAAAAAAAAAATAGTTGGAAATTTTCAACAATATAACTAGTAAAGACTACTATGGAAGATATTTATTCTTTTGCATTCTCACATACTACCCATCTTCTCATTTTTTTAAAATGTCAAAGATGTCAAATTTTAGCTCCTGAATTATCAATTTAGGAGCTACATATTACATAACCAACTCTTGACAAAATTTATTTCATCTACTCCCAGATTTAGCATAATAATAATAATCATAATTATAATAATTATTATCAATGGGTCTTCAGAAACTATTGCTAGTCAAAGAGATATTCTATTAAACAAATTCCTCACATTTCAAAATATCATTCACGTACCAAATTATTCATAAACTTTGGTATCCATCTAAAAGTTCGCTACATGTTACAATTTTAAATTTTACAATTCATATTCTGCATTTTTGGAACAGAGAATGAGGGGAGTGATTGGGCTTACTAAATAAAGAAATGGTGTTTACACCCTTGAGAAATACAGTGACCAAAGAAGTTCCAAACTACCTAATATTAATTTTCCGTCAGAAACTTTTAAATCCAATGATAAAAAGATATGGATCCAACATCTACAGCTTGGACATCCTTCTTATTCTCAAAACTATATTTCCTTTATTATAAAAAAAATATTAATGTTAAAATGTTTCACTGGGATACTTAAGAAAATTAATTGCTGTTAAAGCTTTTCAAAAATCACCACAAGTATTCAGTACTCTTTTCTCATTTATAGTAACATCTAGGGACCATTCTCCACACCTAACATATCTGGGGCTCAATAATTTAGCCCTTCATTGATGACCGCAACTGTGTATTATAACTTTCTACAAAAAATTAAAAGTGATGAAAGTATAATCTTCCCCGCCCTTTTTCATAAAAAAAATCAATTTGTTGCTAAAATTAAAAGAATAAGATTACACAAGCCAAAAACTTTCTAATCATTCTCTCCTCATATTTCCATGAAAAAAAACATAAAAGTCCTCTTGTGTATACAAAAAGATTTAAATAATAATATTGTTGGAAAATTGTCTTAATGACCGCTCGCATCCTGTAAACCGATTGTCAACAACGGTTTGGATTATAGGGTCATACCCAATGTTTAGCCAAATAATTTCCTCACTTCAACACCTCGAATAACCTTATTCTCAAGATAATTGGAAGTGTTATCTTTGTCCATTCATATGATGAATAAAGAAATATTTCATCCCAAAGCAACTAAATGTATTTTTATTGTCTACCCTTCCACTCAAAAACAATACAAACATTAGCATCCCCTCACGCAAAAAGTGCATGAATTGGTTGATGAAAACTTTTCATAAAGAGGATTTATACTTTGCTACTAACAACTTTAATGAAAAAATATCCTTCACAAATGAATTTTTCTCTAAGGTTGCCCATCCTTACCCCTAAATCAAGGAAAAAATTCTCCTTTAGAACTAGACACTCGTAAAAAAATAAAGCTTGCATCAAGACCACCTTCTACTCAGCCATTACAGGTTTACTCAAGATGAAATGTATCTCAATGATGCAAGCCTAATCAACAAAATCAACCTATAGCACTGAACTCGTTGAATGAACCATTAAGACTAGAAATAAATTTATTTCAATAAAACATCTCATATATTTTATATCATACAAAAAATTTTACCTTCGTTATCAATCCTTTCATATTAGCCTTCAAACTATTGTATCCCTAAAATCATCCCCAAGCCATTAAATAATGAAAATTAAAAAAATGATGTGAGAGAAGATATAAAAGCTGTTCAAAGGAACAAAACTAGCATTTGGTGACACTAACAAAAGAAAAATAACTAGAAAAATATATAAAGATCTCTACTAAAAAGTACAATGCCAAAAGGCTTGATTAGCATAAGACATTAGTTCTTATTGCACTCATTATATGCTTTTTAAAATTCGTATATATTTTCAAGCAAAAAATAGAAATGAATTTTAATGTAGTTCACATTCATTTTTTGTGTTTATAATATATTTGATGATTTGTAAAGTAAAGAGAAATTGCATACCTTGCGGGGAAGAGAACCTTCCACATCTTCGACACGACGTCTTAGCATAAACGGTTCCAGAATTTGATGCAGTCGGTGAATAATGATCACCTTTTTCTCAGTTTCAAGCCAATCATCCTCCTCGCTGTTTTGTGAAGGACCATCCCTCTGAAAGGGCTTAGAAAACCAATCATGAAATGCTTTCCGGTTATCAAACACTTCTGGGAGAAGTAAATTAAGGAGGGACCACAATTCCTTCAAATCATTCTGCAGAAAGAAAAACATAATCTAATTAGTTACACAACACAACCAAACAAAACATCAAATAGCAAGCATCGTATCTATATTATTAAACAGTTCCAATTATTAAATCCTAATCAACCTTGGTAACAGCACTAATTCATAAAAGCACACAATAAAATTGGGTTGGTCAATGAACATAAACCAGTGAAAAAACACCAAATCATATAAAAGACAACAAAACTCAAGCAAGCAAAGAGCATTAATTTAAAGTTTAAATCAAAATGCATCCAAGAGGCCCTAAGTTGCACCTGCAAAGGAGTTCCAGTGAGAAGCAAACGTCTCTGGCAACGATACCTATCAAGATCACGGGCAAGAACAGATTCTCTATCCTTCATGCGTTGAGCCTCATCGATGATGATGTACTTCCAATTAATTTTAGAGAGTTTTGAGCGATCATACATGATAAATTCATATGTTGTAACAAGCACGTTAAATTTAACAGACAAAACTTCCTGTCCATAAAGACAAATAAGATCAGTATTAGTGGCCATTATGAAGCTAAAAAATAAAAAATTAAAAATTAAAAAAGCTAATACTACTATCAGAAATATGATGTAGATCACTAGCTAACTTTTGCATCTCGGTAAGCTCAAATGTTATTTTAAAACATACCATTCCAAAGTTTCTGCACACATTGTGCATTAATTTATTTTCACTGTGCTATTCTCCAAATTATAGCAAGATTTAAACCCTAGATCTAAGCCTCTGAATTACTAGAGCTTGGCATCATGAAAAGGCAAAGCGTTCCAAGATTCTGGATAAAATTCTTATCATTGAAACCAAATAAACAAGTTAAGTGTCAACTCAAGACAGAGACCCATATCTGAATAGACTGAGGAGCAAGTTTCTGACATTGATAGATATTTGCACCTAAATAAATGCCGCGTGTAAAATAAAGAGCATTGTGAGAATTATAGAACAAATTTCCATGCAAACACTGCTCACTACAGCAATTCATCTGAGAAAACATGTATAAAAATCCATTGGCGTCCAAAGTTTAATGCGATAGAACCTAAAAGATTAATTTAGACAGAACAACTTATTTGAAATATTTATTTTCAAACTAGTTATTAAATTTAAAATTTGATTGTTGAAGGAAATTTCTTTGTCCCCCGGTCCCCCTCATTCACACCAATCTCATGCAGAAGCATTGATTTGGTCTCTAGTAACTCCATGAAAGTAAATTCTTGCTCAATTTTTTTAAGATTGACTATGCTAATTATGATACCTAGAGTTGACATGGAAAGGATCATTGTAATTTTATGAGGGGGATAATATACTTCTTCACCTTTAATTTCATATCATATTATTATAATATAAATGGACGGATTACTCACAAATTTAAAAAATCATAAATCGGCCATACTCTAATAAAAAAATAATAAACAATACTAAAAATAAAATCTTCCTATATAATTTCAAAACCCCATCTCAAAGTTGGAGCATAGATATCTATCATGCCCAACTTGCTTACAAAGAGCTAAAAATTAGGCTAGAACAATCATTTTCTAAAAATATCCACCATTCGTTGAGCAATAGGGATAAATGACATGCAAATAGCTCCACAATCAATCTTCTCTTTATCAAACGTCTATTAATCCCCACATGCTTTGTGCAATCATATTGCACAGAATTTTCTGCAATGCGTATGGCCGTTTTATTATAAAAGTACAACTTCATTGGCATGTCTATCGGAATTTGTAGCTCTTCAAGGATTAGCTTCAGTCATAACATGTCACATACTCCATTAGCTATAGCCTCGACACAACTCCTTGCCAACATATCATATTTCTTACTTCACCATGTAACCAGATTTCCCCATTCATAAGCACAGTATTCAAAAGTTATCCCTTGTCAACAACTGAGCCTGCCCAATCTGCATCGGTTTATGCCTCTATATTATGTTATGTGGTCTTCTGAAGGAGTAAACCCTTACCTAGTATACTTTTTAGGTATCTAAAAATCTTGTTAACTGCTTCGAGATGTTTCTCAGAAGGTGAATGCATAAACTGGCTTAGCAAACTTAAAGCAAAGGCAATATACGGCCGCGTACGTGGTAAGTATATCAAGTATTCCACCAACTTTTGATATTGAGTTGTATTCACTAGGTCACCTTCCTTTTCATCTCCGGGCTTTTGATTGGATCAATCGGAGTGACTGCAACATATAAACACTCATCGCAGTTTCTTCTAGAAGGTCAAGAATATACGTCCATTGAGAAACAACAATCCCTTTCTTTGATCTACAACCTTTATGCCAAGGAAATACCTCAAAGATCTCAATTTCTTGGTCTAAAAAACTGATGAAAGGAAAGTGTTCAACAAAATTCATTTCATCAACGTCATCTCCGATGAGAATTTTGACATCCACGTATACATTTAGTAAGGTTATTTTCTCATCCTTTGAATGTCATAAGAACATTGTATAACCCTCTTGCCCTTGAGTATACCCGACTTTTAACAAGTAATGTAAACTTCTCAACCACGCTCTTGGTGACTGCTTCAACCTGTACAAATATTTCTTTAGTTTACACACTTCTTTGCCAAATTTCTCATTAAATCTTGGAGGAGCATCCATATACATTTTTTCCTTTAAGTCCCCGTTCAGTAAGCATTCTTAACATCCAACTATTGTAGGGGCCCTCTAAGATTAGTTGCAGGTGATAGAATTACCCTTATATAGTTTAGTTTTGCAGCTGGAGAAAATGTCATTAAATAATCAATGTCATATCTCCAAGTAAATTCCTTAGCAACCAGTCTAGCCTTGTGTCATTTTAAAAAGTCATCAAAATTGTACTTGATTATAAATACTCATTTACATCTGACAATTGTCTTCCCTCTAAGTAGATCAGTCACTTTCCACTTGCCAATTTTGCAAGAATTTTTATCTCCTCGAAAATAGACTCCTTCCACTTGATGCATTTTTAGAGTGTCCTGCACAGTTCTAGAAATCTCCATATTGAATAAATGTGAGGTGAAAGCATGGAAAATTGATGAGGTTTTCATATGGCACAATGGGATAATGGGTGTTGGGTGCAAGACCTCTCCCTAACGGAGAGGCTAGACTCATCAGACTCATGATTCAAATTAGCCTAAAATTTAAACCTAGAAGAATCAAAATTTGAAGATGAAGTTGGCTAAACATGAGGTAAATGATTAGTTTACGCATTCTCCGCGAATAGACAAAATCAAACGGTACCACTTTCATCATTTTTTTATATGTTGCTTCATTGTTATGAACATCATGAGATGGAATTGTAGGAACCTCAATATCTAAAAGAGTCAACGCATTCTCCTGATATAATATCACTTTGATTTTAAAGTTGAACAATCAAGATTGGAAGTATTGTTTTGGGAGTCTTCAATTTGAAGAAAAGCCTGAGGCACAGTAGCCACATCTCTATTTTCTTCTTCCCCTCGAAGATGAGGTGAAAAAACGGTTGTAATTCAAAAAAGTGAAATCCATAGTAACAACATTTTTTTAAAATTGTGATCAATACATGTATACCCTTTTGGTTAAGGGCACAACCAACAAACACAAGTTCTAAAGCTCGAGGTTCAAGTTTTCATTGATTATGCATGTGAACGAAAGTAGCACACCCCAAATATCTTTAAAGATAGAAAAGAGAGCCAATTTTCGAGAAAAAAAAATGAAAAACATTAAAAAGTGTTTCAAAGTTTAAACCTTTACTAAATATTCTATTTATAAGAAATGTAGTAGAGAGAACCGCTTCGCCCCAAAGATATTTGAACGCATGATTGGTAAATAGCAAAACCCGAGCTTCGTCCAATAAGAGCTTAATTTTCCACTCAGTCAACCCATTTTATTGCACAGTGTCTATACAAAAACTTTGATGAATTATTCATTTTTCAAAAAAGAATTAACCTAAGTATTTTTGAAATACTCTCGATCATTATCACTCTGTAATATCCGAATGATTGTTTGTAATTGGTACCATGGTGCAAAAATTTTTGAAAAATATTTCTACTTCATATTTTTCTTTCATTAAATAAACTCAACTTAACATAATGTAATCATCAGTGAAAGTCACAAACGATGTTTCCAAGAGTATGTAACGGTTTATAAGGACCTCAAATGACGCTTTGGATTAAACTAAATGGTATAATAGGTTTGCATATTTGTGAAAAAAGTGATGCACAATGATGTTTAGCAAACTGACACATTTCATATCGAAACAACGATATATTTCTATTTTAAATAATTTTGGAAATAAATATTTTAAATAACGAAAATTGGGATGACCTAACATATATGTGATAACATAATTTCATTGTCTTTAGAAACAGAAATAGAATTTAAATCAATACTTTGATAATGTTTATTCGAGTAAAGTCCATCTTCAAAACAATAAAGTCCATTTTTTTCTTTAGCATTGTCAATTATCCTCCATGTGGTCATTTTCTAAAACTCACAACAAGAAAAATAAAAGTTATTTTGGCATTGATGATCAACAATAATTTTATTAATAGAAAATAAGTTAGGCGGTAGCGATAGATTAGGAACATAAACCCCGCGAAGGGTTAACAAAGAGAAGAGTTTGAAAGTTTCTATCCTGACAAATTACCAATAGGGAACCATCAGCATTTTCACCTTTTTATTGTTTGTATAAGGTCTATAGGAAGAACATAATTTAGAACAACCCATCATATGATCAGTTTCATTAGAGTTAATTATCCAATAATAAGAAAATTTAGAAATAACACCTAAAAAAGCAGTGGTCATTGTTACCTCTTCGTACTAAAAAGCGAGAAGTGCTATAATTGCCTATTGGTGAAAGGGATTGAATTCAAGTTAGCAAAAGGCTCCTAAGTTTCTTCAACAATGGAAAGAGAGTTACTATTTTGTACTAAAAAGCAAGACGGAGTCATGGATAATCTTGGAGATTAAAAAAATTATTGTGAGCGCTCTGAATGCTCCTTGGTGAAAAGGATTGGATTCGAGTTAGCAGACGGCTCTTTAGTTTCTTCAGCAATGGCTTGATAAGCTTAACATTCACACTTAGATTTTGATTTCCAATTCATTGGTTTTCCAAAAAGCTTCCAAAATGTCTCCTTCGTGCATCATGATTTTTTGCAATGATCGAACCATGAATTTTCGCCCTTTTTTTGCCAGTATCAACCCCTTTTGACACAAGTCAAGTTCTCCTGTTCAATGTTATCGGATGAATCAATGTTGTACAACATGTTTTTTCTTCTGAAATCTTCACATCTAATTTCAGAAAGATTTCTCAAATTGAGGGTGGAAATGTTTTACCAAGGATTCGACCTCGATCTTCATAAACTCTTGTTAAGGTTAGCAAAGAACAAGTAGATTGAGTTGTTTCTTCCCTTTTCATGTGGCGAGCATAGCCAATTGAATTTTCTCAACTATCATCAGAACATTAATCAAGGTCCCATCATAGGTTTCCAACTCATTATAATGCGTAGTAACATCACAGTCATTTGTTTGAATTTCCAAAGTTGAGTTTTCAACACAAAAATTTGCAAAGAATTCTCTAAGTCTGAATATAGCTCTCGAATAGCCTCAAAGATTTCTCGAGTAGTGGGAAGAATATATGAGGCTTTCCTATGGAAGATTCCATAAAATTAATAAATCATGCTATTACCAGAGAATTTTCAGGTTGTAATTTTATTATATATGGATCATTAGCAGTAGGATTTGTGATTTCTCCAGTTAAATACCTAATTTTGCCTCTCCCGACAATTTTATAGATTATGTCCACTTGAGATAATTGTGCCCATTAAGTTTTATAATTTTGAGGCAAGATGATAAATTCTGAGAAAAATATTCAGCCGATATTCCCATTAGGGGAGCAGTCGGGTAAGGAATGGTGATTTCAGAATTACTAGAACCAGCCGATGTGACATAATTTCTTTGAAATCCCGTAATCATTGCTGATTTGTACAATATGTTTTATGTCGTGATCAAGATGGCGCAAAACTACTGTACATCGCGATCAAATTAATTTCCTGCGCGAGCGACGCGGAACTCCTTTATGTTGCAATCCTTACATCTATTTTCAATCAAAAATGACTCTGAACTCCTATACCCAGCAATCTGTTCACTTCCCTGCACACACTTGTACCCCATGATCCCATCTTTGGCTTTCCAGCCACGAAAAACTCGCGAACTACGTCTTTAGGCGATTGGATCTTTGCAGCAAGCTTTAATCATGATGACTAAGCGGAAGGAGGAGAATACCCGATCATCGTTGGTCGATGCATTCCTCTGAGTGTTGCAATCATTCCTTTGAGTGTTGTGATTTGGTTGTTGCCTTCCCAACAAACTTTTAGGGCTTTGATACCATGTGATTTTAGGAGGGATAAAAATACTTCATCTTTAATTTCATATCAAATTATTACAAGATAAATAGAAGGGATGGCTCCCACATTAGGAAAATCATAAATCAGTCATGATGGTCCATGATAAAAAAAAGAAACAAGAATTATAACATACCAATAAAACTAAGCTCTAAAAAAATTAAACAATAAAAAATATTAAGAAAAATATTTTCCTAATAAATTCCAACAATCATCTTACATGGAAAAAACAAATCAAAAAAATCAAGTTCCTCAAAAAGAACAAACCTAACAACATACATTCCTAAAAACTCAATAGTACTTAAATACTAGCATTCTCTCAATTCAAGACAAACTCTCATCTTCAATTTGAACTTTATTCGTTCATATTATTAAAAATTACTTACATCACCAGAGCCCAAATGTATTAAGGCAATAATTGTAATAATTGTAATTTAAAAAAAAGGAAATAATTAATTAAAAATAATCTTTTTATCTAAGGGATGGGTTGATTCGAGGTTTAAAATTTTGATAGTTTCGTTTTTTATGAAATGCCTCATTCGAACCAAGGAATAGAAAGGAGAGAGCAAAGAGTGACGAGGAAGGGGAGCAAAGGAAGGTAGAACCGTGTGATCGAGAAGAAACCGTAAGAGGCCCCGTGACCTGAGTGTGCTTATGTGTGTCAAGGGTAAGAAAAACGATTTATGTGTAGGCAATAGAGGAAGCATAATGCGACTCTTGTGTCACATGGAGAGGAAGAAGACAAAAGCTTCAACGCTTTGTGTGTTGGCAGATTGTTGGGCGAAGGAAAAAAGGAAAGGAGAACACCTGGGTGCGCTGAATCGAGTGAATAGAACTGGAGCAAACCGAGCTGCATTTGGAATGATGCGGCCAATTCTTGCAGTGAGGTAATGAAGGATTTTATCGTGCTAAATTAATGTATTTAATATGTATGTTTATTTATGAAATGTTAATAATAAGTTTAATTAAATCAAGATCAAAGCTATAAAAGTCTTGAATTGAAGGGAGATAGAGATCAAAAATTGTGCAAAAGAGACCGATATAACTGAAGTAAGTTTAGGGTTATTTCAATTTAGGATTCTGCTTCTTTAAATAAATATAGAAACTATCATTTTATTTATTTATATCAGTAAAAAAGGATGGATACTTAAGATAAGAATTTGAGAACTAACTGTAGTGATGTAAGAGGTAAGGATTTTTGTATTTATTATGTATGTGATTTTACTTAAACTGCAATAAATAGAGTATATGAATGCAATGTAAAAGTATTTGATTCAAAAGATAATTGAGGAGAAATATTTAAATTAATGAAGTATATGTTAGAGAGAGTAAACCTTTATATATGCGCTTTTATTGGATGTAGGTGTTAGTGACAGAATAAAGTGGAGGAATAAGCTTTTCCAGGGGTCTTTTAAGGTAGAGGTGAGTGTTTACAGTAATATTTCTTATTTTAAAATATATTACTACTTACTAGCTTTTTCATTATTATATCATATCTTAATAAAATTAAATCACATATGTTTCTTCATATTGTTAGTCATGAAACATGCATGTTAAATATTATTGTCTTAATAGTTGCATAATAGTTTATTTTAGAAAGATATCAGATTATTACATGGCTCATATATTCTAGTAAAAATATGTATATTAGCTTATGTCATGACCAAATGTATAAATCGAATTATTACTTGACTTTTAGAATTCTAATAAAGGTACATCTATCAGATTATCGCATAATCTTAGATTCTAGTAAAGTTGCATTATTTTCTGCAGATAGATGCAAATTGTATTGTATGAAAAAAAAAAATGTATGAAAAATGAAATAGTGTACATATGAATATATGTATGTGCATACTAAAAGGAGCTCATATGCTTAAAGTATATGCAATGAATGTGAATGTACCCATGCATAGATGTTATCCTCCTACCCCAGACAATTATAATGTTTCAGATCGCTATCCATTGTACCGACAGAAGAATGTCGATCAGGAGCGAGTGGGCACATTTTCACCTCAGAAAACGGTGTAAATTATATCACAAATTGTTGTATTGATAGGATAACATCAGTCAAAGGTGTGTTAGGTTATGTTTTGATAGTGCTCCAAAGACAAATGTGAATGTTAATTGCATGAAATAAAAGTATAGTTAAAAACTAAACTTTAGAAAATAAAGTTGAAGTTAATGTATATCAAAGTTTAAAATATTTTCATTATATATATGTCATGGATATAAATATTGCATGCATATTATTTTATTTTTCTTAGATTAATATAGTTTAAAACTGTGATTGCTCAAGGGTTATCTATAAAAAATAATTATATTTTTTTAAATATTTTTTTTCTAAATTTAGGCCTATAATTAAGATAAAAACTAGAGGAAATAATAATTACAACAACGAGAACAATCTGGAATGTAACTTTTTATTTAGTAATTTAATTGATTCTTTTAGCATCTCTTTAAATTAATATGTGAATAACAAATTTTCAGTGATAGAAATAAAATAATAGAAAACATAATTTCTTTGTTCGATCATCAGTTACCATCACAATTAATTCCTAGCCAAGTGTCGGGTTGTAACAATAACATCCCAAAGAGTTATAACACATATTCTCTATAGACAACCATCGCCCTGTACATCTTTTATGATAGCCACAACCAATCTCACCCACCTCTTATGCCAAAAATTACACAGCTGATAGCCCTTCTAAACAAACCTTGAAACAATTATCAAGAACATCAGACTCTCAACAAGTGAAAATCATCATGCAAAGGCTTGGACCTATTTCAGATCTCTTTTGTTTTCTATTTTTTTTTCTTTATTTGTTTATGTTTTAACTTGAACTAAAACATGTTTGATTGTGATAGTTGTTTTTAAAAACACTCAAAAAAAAAAACAAAAAATATTTTTTTGGTGTTTTGAGTGATTTTAAAAATAAGGTGAATTCTTTTTAAAATAAAAAAATAAAAACATATAAAAGTAAAAGTGATGCCAAAAGGGGCACTGGAGATGAAGCAAGCGGCCCGAGGCATAACAATCCACTTTAACGGACATGTCTCAATAACAACTTGGTGATAGTAGGGGCAGTGATGGTCGTGAGCATGTGAGGAGAGTTTGAAACAATAAAATTCACCAAAATCCATCATGAATAAATGTTTATGGAATTATCATTTGATCGATAAGAATAAGAATTTGTAGCACACACTTTCCCTTATTTCAAAGATAAATTTGAGGCTTCTTTCATTCTTTATTGCGCAATCCTAATACTTTCAACAATATTCGATTTGCAGCCACTTCAAGCTTTGGATAAACAAGAAACATTTTCATGAGTTATGTATTAGTAATTTTGAGTCAACTTAAACAGACAATGAATTGACAGTATAAGCTCCATTTCAAGTTGGATCAGTAAACCCGACTTGGCTCAAACCAAATTCAGGCTAGAGTACATTTCAAATCAAATTGAAGTAAACAATTTTAAGTTAAAGCCAAGCACAAATCGCTCATACTCAGCTCAACACCAAGTCTAATGGTTGATAAAGAAACCAACAAAGAAGAACAACTTAGTTGATGATAATAATATGTGGAAAATTATATAATTTAGATGGCTCTTGGGCATTTTTATAGTCATAGAGATGTATAATCACTGCTTACAACCACACATGAACATGCACCCTTTCACAAAATTGACTAAGAATATAAAAGTGATCAATCTGATTCAGTGATTCTTAATAAGGTTTTAATGCAGTATAGCAAACCCTTCTCTTGCTATAATCCGGACACAAGTAATTATTAAAGCATAAGGAACTTCAAGTTTCAGTACATAATCAGAAGGCAAGATCTAGAGCAACGTACATGTGCGAAGAGCTTTGACCGCTGATCTTTTCCTCCAACGTAAAATATGCATGTTATAGAAGGCAACCAATTAAGCAGCTCACTCTGTATGAAACATATATATCAGAAAAAAGCTATTTCAAATAGAAAAAGGACAAAGAAGAACATATACTCAGCGTGAATCAGACCTTCCAATTTACTAAAACAGCATTTGGAACTATAATGAGATGTGGCCCATAGTTCCCTTTAAACTCCATCAAATAAGCAATCAATGCCATAACCTGTTTGACAGCATAAACGTCAAATGTTATAGACAAAGCTAGCTGAAACTATAGCAAAAATAGAGGACTAATATTAAAGTTAGCTAAATAAAGAAATCATAAATTTCATTTATAATTGTCATGAAGCATTAAAATCACAGCCAGCTTCTTCCAAGTTTTGCAAGTAAAAAACATATAAAAAAATTACCGCATATATGTATGAAAAGTGAACAGGAATAGCACGAGGAAGAAGAGAATCGCAAAGAAAAAAAACATTAATATAAAAGGTCACTATATAAAGCAATATATAGAGTGCAACCTGCACAGTCTTGCCAAGACCCATCTCATCTGCCAAAATACCATTCAACTTATTGTTATACAAGGACAGCATCCACTGCAGCCCAACCTGGTAGAATAGACAAAGATAGACATATTAAGTTATAAATTTATGTGAGCATGAATGCATCAAACATAGCATCTCACAAGCTGATAATCTCGCAAAGTTCCAGTTTTCAACATTGATGGTTGTCTGATAACTCTCTCGCTCACAGCATGCGCTAAATTGTAATACCTGGAGACCAAGAAATGTTTCAGCCTAACCCAGCAAAAGCAAACAAGTGATGTTAGGTTCCATACATCAACAACATCAAATAGTGTACTAAGAAAATTATCTAAACTTCCTGAATTATCAAACCAGTGCATAGTACAGATATAATCTCCATAGGGAATGGAAAAAGATATGGTTATAAATAAATTAATAAATTTGATGAATAGCTCAATACTCATTTATATAAGGTATATTCTTTATGATTTACTAAGAAAACTGAGCAAGCTTGAACAAAAGATATTAAACCTTGATATATATAAATAAATAAATTTATTGATGACTCAGAACATTTAGTTTCTATTTGAAGATTTTATATTCTTCTATCAATTTTCCTATATCCTAATACGTATATAATGAAAGGCAAAAAATATGATAAACATTTTAGTAAATAGCTAGATGGATAGCATACATATATACATGCATATGTATGTATGTGTGTGTGTGTGTGTGTGTGTGTGTGTGTGTGTGTGTGTGTGTGTGTGTGTGTGTGTGTGTGTGTGTGTGTGTGTGTGTGTGTGTGTGTGTGTGTGTGTGTGTGTGTCTGTATACCTACATATACATATATATATATATATAGACATGCATACGTACATATATACAAATATAGACATGCATACGTACATAGATATATATACATACATACATACACATATATATCTATGTGTGTGTCTATATATATATATACATACGGATGTCTTCGTTCCCCTCTGCTACATACATACATACACATATACATATACATATACATACACATATACATATACATACATACATACACATACATATACATACATACATACATATACATAGTACATATATACATGTGTATATATGTGCATACATACATATATCTATGCATGCATGCAACTAATTTTAATTTATTTAAAATAAAAAACCAAATTTTAATTAATGCATATGTGTCGATGCCATTTGTACAGCAAATTACAAAATTAACTGCTATTTGCATACATAGCCTTGAATCCCTATGTATTTCTGTATGTAATACCAATTTTTTTAAATTTAATTTTGTAGAACATATCACCAACATTCACTTATGGAAAGCAAATTACTCATCTTCATATATATATATATATATTAATGCTCTTTCGTTGCATCATCCGTTAAGCTTTGATTAAAGCCTGATTTCATCTTGAACATGATAAAAAAGCTAGAAAAAGAAACCTTGAATGAGATTTCAAAACTAAGATATTACTCAAGTTCGGTTCAATCTCAATAATAAAATAAATAAATGTGCTCGAATGGGACAATACTCAGAACAGGTTTATTTATAGACCTATAGAAAACGAATCATCCATGAATGGCATATTATTTCAAACAAGCAAAAGAAGAATAATCAATAGTTCATCAACAAGCTCACTTGTTTACGGATGAATTTTCTTTTGGAGCATTCATTTCTGAAAATTTGTTTCTAATGAAAACCTCCTGCCCTGCACAGGTAGCTGCAGCCTTGACTTCTTCATCTGAAAACCCCTGTAGATGAGACTTCCTTTACAATCTTTCAAATGCATATAATAAATTTAAAACGCAGCAAAAAGAAAAAGGTCCAAAACTGATGATGTAAACTATGTGATAACGGTACACAAATACCTGAGCTCTTGCAGCTGCAGCAGCAGCATTGGCTGCCTCTTCCATCTCTTGGTTATTCTTTGCTGCTGTTATTTTTCCTCCAAGCTTGAGAAGATACTCCTCAGTCTGAGACAAAAAAGAAGACAAAACAGCATATCTTTGAGCTGCGTCACCAGGAACATTTGTTTGCTGCTCCAACAACATCTCACGATATCTATCAACATCATTGTTCTTCAAGGCCTCCATCCTTCTGTTTCTATCATCATCTTTTCTCTTAGAAAACTCTCTCAACATTCTCTCGTGATATTTAGCAACTCCTCTATTGCGAGTAGTTCTTGCATCACGAATAGCCCAGTGAGACTCCAGAAGCTTCTTACGCCATTGAAAAATGGATTTTAATTGCTTTTCTCTAGAAACCTTTTGTAGTTGTTGAACTTGCCTAATGAGGTCAATCCGTTGCCGCTCACACTGTTTGACAAACTTTCGATATGGTCTATCAGACATCGCCATTATCTCTTCTTGTTCTCGATCGACCTTATCTCGTAAGTGAGCTTGAAGATCTAGAAGTTTGAGCTTTCTTTCTTCAATTTGTAGTTTTAAAACAAGGTCAGGCCTGATTCTTTTCCTCTCCAAGTTAACAGCAAGCAGGCCACTGATCTTTCTCAAATTTTCTGCCCGCTTCTTGTTGAGTACATCCATGCCTTCATCGAATAGCAATTCTTTTGCATCATATGCTAATGCAAGATTGCTTGTGTAATTAGTACTATTGGACCCCAAATCATGCTTCTTGGTGAAAGAAGGGAAGTCAAAAAGTGGACCATGATACTTCCTTACGACAACATCCTTAAGTGGCATGTTGGTTACAGCAATAGATTTTTCCACTTGTCCGGCATCTGCTTTAATCTTCTCAACACTGTTATCACCTTTGGACAATACATTTTCACAACTTTTTTCCGCCTCTTGCAACTCAGGTTTAACAAAAGACTTGTTATTTTGCTCAGCAATCCCCCGGGATGCAAACCGTGCAGATTCACTGTTGATACCTGATGTTATTTGTGAGTGACTCGTAATATCCTTTTTTTCCTCTATAGAGGACTCGTCTTTAGGAAAGACATGTCCTTTTCTCAAAGAAGGAAACTGTGGAGCCTTTTCTTCAATCTGCACATTTCTTGCAAGTCCTTCATTGCTGCTCACAGCTTGTCTTTCCTGATTAGAAATACTAGATGGAGGAGAAAATTGCCGCAACTGGTTATCAAGTGGAGGTGGTGCAATTGCTTGAAGAACTTCAGGAGGAAGAGCATGTTCGCCACGCTGTGATGGGTCAAAATAGCTACAATATCAATCTCAGAGTTGCACTAACTACTAAGAACTGTATAAAGGCAAGCATAAAACAAGGAAAAACATCCAAACCCAACAAGCAAGCATAGAATCTCATTGCATGTGCCTTGAAAACACATAGAAACTCCCAAATATGAAGGCATGTCATGTGTCTTATGTTGAACACAAATATGCATATACAATGGTCAAACAAGAAAGAGATATGTCCCCATATAAATAAGTTCAAACATGTGCTAAACATGATGGGAAATGGAGAGAAAAAAGGGATGCGAAAAAAACAATACTACCATGTTTTGCATTTAACAAAAAATTAAATCTCCTTACTCTTTTGAAGATATGGGAACAACGCCAGTGATACCCATTGGCATCATTTATGTTTACTCATGTAACCAAAAAAGGTTGAGCAAAACATAAGCCGGCATGGCATGCATGTAGAAAGAAACATTGCAAAAGATAATAAAAAATTTCCAATCAGTACCTTGAGACGCCTAAAGGCCAATATTTGTGCCTTCAAGACAAATAATTGTGGTTTTGTGAATCCAATAGACTGTTGGGACATAGGAATAGATCCGCTTTGAGGTGGCATCTGAGAACTCACATCCTCACTAGAAGCAACAGCTGGTGATGACGTGGTTTTGGTCCCTGGTTCCAACTTTGTATGCTGCCTCCTTAGCGCATCAGAGCCTATATTTGTATTATCAACACTGAGCTGGTCAAAACTCTGTTTCAAAATACCAGAAGAATTTGGCATTTGCATCATAGAACCCCCATTTCCAACAGCAGTTGAAGATTTAACAACTTTATCATTCAGGTTTTCCCTGCTGAGAGGCCATGCTTGCTGCTGTACTTGCAAATTGTACAAATTTGGTTCGTTGGCAGAACCGCCGTTATTAACTAATGATCCTGAGGTAAATATTTTTTGGCTGTTGACAGTCCCACCCTGAGTAACAAGTTCATTTAATGAATTCCCTTGACCAGTATTTTCATTTCCGCCTTGCGAAAAACCAACTTGTTGTTTTGATGAAGGCAAGTTTGACTGAGAAGCTGCCATGTTGGGTTCATTCTGCTTCTGAAATGCCACCGTTCTGTCCTGTTGCCAAAATGGAAAAAATTGAGTGATCAGGTTTAAGTTTGAAGGAAGAGAGAGATCAATGTTATGCTCCTGAGCCCAAGTTTGCATTGCTTGCAACTGTATAGCCATTTGACTACTTGAAGTATTCTGCATGATTGCTTGTGGATTTAGAGATTGCATAGGCCTTGACACATTTGTAGCAGTAAATTGTCCTGTGACCATCTGAGGATGTTTAAGCTCGCTTTGCTGATCTATACTAGTTTGGCACTGCTCCATCTGATTCTCAAAATGTGGAAAAGTTTCACCTGGTCGCTTAAATACAGTCGTATGTGTCGGGTTGGCTGTCTGAAGCGAAACAAGATCCTGCATTTTCAAATTGTTCAAAGGCATGCCTTGATCCCTCCGAGCTGGGCCAACCAGACCAACTTTACCTTGTTGCTGAGCTAGCAGATTCCCATGATACTTCTGTTGAGCATTCTGCAATGCAAACTGAAGATAGGCTTGATGGACTGGGTTCTGCATTTGTTGAGATAAGATTTGCCCTCTGCTCTGACTTTCCTCGTGTACCTGAGCCAGGCCATCATCAAATTTCCTTTGTGGTTGAGCACTAGAAGAGGAAGGGAGGTTACTGCGACCTATTACTCCATGCATACCAGCAGTATGATAAGCCGTAAGAGAATCTTCTCCTTCAGCTGTTCTTAGATTTTGAAGCTGAGGTGATTGTTGTTGTTGTTGCAAAGACTGCATATTAATCATAAAGATATTGAATAATTAAAAGATAATTTATCAGAAAGGAATAAGCATTCATTACTAGATAGCAATAATCAGTTCTTAGATTTCAAGCATAACTCATGTTGAACTCTTAATCGTTAGAATTGCCAAAAATTTTTAGGCAACAATAAAAGATTCCAATAATCTAAATGACATTATATGAGAGTTTCATCACACAAGACCACTGATGAGGAAACAACTTCATAGATACCCCAAACATCCATGATGCAGCAAAGAGTACCAGGCTTCATTACAATATTCAATTTATTGCTGCATATCAAAAAAGAGAAACTTGACCTCCAACAAAAACAACAACAACAACGAGTTTTTATCCTGCTAAGTGGGGCAGCTACATGAATCATTTTTCTCCATTGTGTCCGATTGAGTGTCCTTTTTCTCCATTGTGTCCAATTGAGTGTCATATTTTCATTTAATTTTAATATATTAAGATCATTTTTTTATGCAATATGCCCAAGTCCTTTTAGTTCTGCCTCTAACTTTCTTAATATATGTGGAATCTAAAATATTTACTCTCCTACCAGGACGATCAGATGGTCGGTGTTTAATGTGACCAAACCATCTAAGACGACTCTCTCTAATCTTGTCCGCCATTGAAACTACAGCAACCTTATCACGGATATATTCATTTCGCATTTTGTCTCTAAGTGTCAAATCACTCATCCACCTAAGCATTGTCATCTCAAAAACACCTAACTTTGTTTTAAGCTTCTCTTTTAAAGGCCCTGCGCCATAGAGCGCATAAAAAATTTGACCTCAAAAAATACTCAAAAATCAAGAAGGTGGCTTAAGTAATGCATCAATGTGATCATGAAAGATCATTTAAGCATGTTTAAATCTCTTTAGACTTTAACATGATGAAGCATATAAGCTAAGGATAAATAGCATGCTTATCTGGTGCAAAGAAAACATAGGGAAACATTCAATATTATTTAATCTTCAGAAAAAAGCAAGAATGAAAAAAAAACACACACACACAAAAGGTATCATGGAAGTTAATATAAATAAAAAAAAATTGAGCATAAAAAAATGAAACGCAATATTCAAAACTGGAGTAAACTAAAGACAGCGCAAATTGAAAAGCTATAAATCAGGAACTAAAAAAATGCCAAAAAACTTCTTCCCTGTTAGAACCTAAAAACAGTAGAAAAGTTAAGCATTCAGAAAAGGCTAGAAAATTTTCGCATAGATAGTTTCAACAACATCAAACCCTCCGTTTAATGATGAAAATTATATTCATGGTAATAAAAAAAAGATATTTGGACTTCCAGAAATTAGAAATTTTGACAACGGAAAAAAAGGGTGAGGGTGCCATATGAGATACTCTGATTTCATGTTTTTGTGCAATGTCTACATCAATCATGTTGGAATATAATTGGAATATTTAAGCTAAATCTACTCCAGTGGCATAACACAAATTGAATATTAAAGGTAGCCACGATTCCTGAAGCATTCTAGGAACAATCGAGACGCATAACCTAGAGAAGAAACAAGCTGCGATGAAACAAGCTGCACTACCACAGAACCTTAATCTTTAACAATGAAACGGTAAAGGAAACAGCGAAGAAAACAAATAAGGGCCGTGAACAAAGCCAAAATCTAAGAATTGGCATCGGACAAAACGACAAGTTGTCGGCATTGACAAGAACTGTGGAAGCTGAAACAGAAGCTGGAGAAGAATATAGACTCGGTGCCCTCAAAGCTGACAGCTAATGAGCATCACATATTGAAACTAGTATTTTAGGCCCCCAAAAGTCACAAAGATCTTATTGAAAACCAGCAATATGTATGCAGTGAGAGCAACCCAAGATGGAATCCAAGCCGTAGAACCCAAATGCGAATCCTACAAAAACCCCAACAGACGGATAATTAAAGAAGCCCAGCCCGTCCCCACTTCCCCCAATTCGGGAAATAACATTAACGAACGTCTTTTTCTCAGATCCCCGTTCAACTAGCGCAACGGCCGCGGAAAAAAACAACTTGCGGAGTATGAAAAATAAAGTGAGCCAAACTGGCACTCACCTGTCGAAAGGCCAGATGCTGCTGTTGTTGCTGCTGCTGCTGAAGCTGCAGCTGCTGTATAGATTCGAACCCTAAATGCCCATGTGCAGACAACGCCGAAGACGAGGACGACGGCGAGGCGGACGATGACGAAGTAGGACGTGACGGAGGAGGTGGAGCAGCCGAATTCCGGCCATTTCCGGCCATACCTCCCCCGGATTTCATCACACAAATCCCTCCAAGCAATTCAAAGCCTCATACAGCGTTGCTTCGGGAAAAAAATGAATCTGCAGATCACTAGGCCTCCTCTCGTCACTTCCGAAAGTTCTGGTCCCCAGATCCGACTGTTGCGAGGCGCTTTTCCTTGCCTACAATCTGCCCTCCAGCACAGCAAAAGCGGTTTTCCAACATCAGCTTCGTCGATACATGGATTTCAAAGAAAAAATAGAAGATCGCGAAGCTGGATCCCCCGCCGGAATGCCGCGATCTTTCCGCTGCGATGGCAATTCACCCGCATACTTTTTCAAAATACCTGCAAATGCGTTTCCTAGTCAAACCCTAACCTGAGCCACATTTTTTTTGTTTTTAACTTTCAATTTCAATTGCTTTTTCGATGCCCAGGTAACTTCTTTCGTCAGAATTGAACCGTGGTTCTACTAACCCCGGTTAGAAGAAAATAATTGGTAGGGACCATGCCCCATCGAGTATAACGTGAACAAAAAGCCTCCACACTGGATGGATTTACTTTGATGCACAAAACTTTGTAATCATTACTGTTTTTGGGTTATGTATGTATTTACATGACTAACATATAAACATTGATATTTACATCTATATAAAATTATTAATATTATGTTAAAATTATCATTATCACTACTTTTTATTATTATTTCATGCATAAATTTATAAAATCAAAGTATTATAAATATAAATATCAAAATTTAGTTATTAGATATGTAAATATATAAGGATTGCATGATAAATATGAAATTTTTTTTATATTTTATTAATGGAAGATTTATATGTGTAAAATGCAATTTCAAAGTATTTATATATTTGAAGTCTAAAATTTCATATTTATGCAAATAGAACTTAAAACTTTAATATCTTATAATAAATAATATTTTGGTTGTGTGTCAGAATATTTGCAGCAGTAGAATGATAATTTAACGTTTTAGCACTGCAAAAAAAATTTAGCAAACATAGATGATACAAAAAAGTAATAGAATGAGTCACTAAAAATTTTTATGTAACAAAATCCTGAAAAGAAAAAAAAAATCACGAGTCTGACCCAGTCAAAATAATACAATATATAGTTGTAAGTACATGGGTTCACAATTCTGCCTAATTAGAGATGATGGAATTACTATGTTGATAATTACATGTGTAGAATACTTTCAAGTTTAATAGTTATAAAAGGGCTATAATAAATATAATTTTTGGCGATAATAGCGATAACGGGATCGCAAATACCATGGTTAATTACTACAAAGACAGTAGTTAACCATAAAGATTGTAGCCAGTGGCTACAATAATGTCAGTTGGCCACAAAGACCATAGTTGGATATTGCAATAACGACTTTTTGTTGTGAAGGTCATGGTTGAAAGTTATAGTAGCAATTGGCCATATAATCGTAGTTGGTTAAAAATTGTGGTTGGTAACTACAGTGGCAACAGTTGGCCAAAAAGATTGTTGTGGGAAGCTACAACAGTAATTGGTCATATGGGTCATATTTGGCTGATGTAAGAGTATTGGTTGGTCATAAAGATCGCAATGGAAGACAAAAATGATGGTATTTGAACACGTTTGTCATAGTGGGAAGTTATCGTAGTAACTGACCACCTAAGTCGTAGTGGGTCATGATGCTCGAAACTGTTGCGAAGAAATTGACCAATCACATAAGTATATGTGATAATCAATTAATATATAAAATTAGAGTGTGTATTGATCGCATGAGAAAACATGTCAATTTTTCTAATAGCTGAAGTTCTTGTTTATTAAACTGTCAAGCCTCATTTAAAGTATTTCGAGTTGCGAAGATTGAAACATTTCTCAATTCTTAATGCAGAAATTAGAGAAAGAAACTAAAGTTGTCAGAGTTTCTCAGAGGCGAAACATTCATGCTCTTGCGACACTAGTCTGGTGATTCCTCATTATTTTTCTTATGATTTTCTCATGTTATTATTGACAACCAAGAACAAATCCTCCTTAGCATATGTCTACGAGATAAGAAGAGTTAGAAATCCTTATTATAGTTATGGGGGCTTAATCATGTAAGATTTCTCAGAATTCTCTAGTTCCATATCTAGGTTGTAATTAAGTAATTATAGTTATGGGGGATTATTCCATTAGGCTATTGTGTGTTAATCTACTCGTTCATTTAAGCAACTGCTAGAAGTCATAGATCATAAGAGATTTAAACTTTCTAATTAGTCGGGTCAAGAGTAAATTAAGACAAAAAAATTAACATATCAACATATGAAATCCAAAGAAAAAAATATTTATAGGGAAAAAACTCAAGAGTAAAACAGTGAAGAAATCACATGTCTTACATCACAAGAGTAAGAAGAATATTTAGCTACTACGTTAAGAAAAAAAAACGAATATATCCTATATTAAAAAAATAGTGTATGAAGGCACAAAAAGTTCAAACCTAAGCCAATCTCTCATTACAATACATCACAATCCTCTCTGTGCAATGCAAGCTCTTCTTCGATCTCACTTGTACAAGTTCACAAAATTCTCTCTCTTACAAAATCTCAAAAATTCTTCAAAAAAAAAAAACCTTAGAGTCTTCTCTAAAGAAAAATCAATAGAGAAAACCCTTGGGCACACCAAAGACTCTCCAAAGACAAGTAGACCAACCTGTAATTGACAAGAATTCCTTCAATGCATCAATGCATTAACTTATATACTCTAAGCCTCAAAATTTAGCAAAATCCTACAAGGAAAACTGTAAACTCACCCAACCACAGGACGGCTCACTGGCACGCTGAAGAGGGGAGCGCACATGCTGCCTCTTTGAGATGGCGGTGCAAGTGCATTGAAGGTGTGGTGTGGGCATGTTGTTAGTGCAGCACAGACACACTGTGGAAGGTCAGTGGCATGTCGCCTCCTCTATGGAACAACACCAAAGTGCCGCCTTTGAGCCAAGGGTTACCACTTCTTTTTCTTCATTTAAACTTCTTTAGACTCAACCCATGTATTATACTAAACACAACCAAGACACCTTTCGTAAGTGTAAAATTATTATCACAAGAAATTAAAATATTGTACTATGTTTATACTCTATCCCGTCACTCGTCTCGATGCTATTGGAGTCTGGATACATCCGGACTTCGCACGTAAAACTTTTTTCATAATGAGAGCTACGAAATTTAGTGTCGTATTTCTACCAGAGATATGAGATGAGCATGGGAAAAGAATGAAAAACATGAAAAAGAAAAAAGAGAAGGAAAGAGAGATAGAGAGAGGAAGCATTGAATGGTCCACTCTTCATTTTGATGTTCATCCATTCATGAGAGTGTCTTTGTTATTTCTTAATATTACGAGCTCTTTAAAAAATTAGATAATATGAATTTAAATCAAAAATCAAAATAGTGATTGATCAAATTTTAATTAAGCCACATTTGATATGAAAATTATGGGGGAGAATTTATATTAAAATTTTAATATTATATATTATTAATATATAAATATATAAATATGTATTAATTAATAAATACATGTACATAAATATAAATATATACTAATTATTGTGTGTCAAAATATTTACAACAGTAGAGTGATTATTTAACATCTTTGTATGACAGAAGATAGAAACACACTCGGATAATTAAAGTGACAAAAAAATCTTGAAAAGGGAAAAAACAATAGAACATATCCCAATTAAAACAATCTAATTTGTGATTATAAGTACCTAGGTCAAATATTCTCTTGTATTAGGGAAAATTTAGTTACAAAGTTGATCATTGTTGATGTATAATAGCAATTCATCAATAATATAACAGTAATATGGCTAGAGTTCTTAATGATAATAACAATAGCAGGTTGTCAGTGCAATAGTCAATTATTATAGAAGTAAGTAGTCCACAAATATTGTAGATGGTGATTGTAGCACCAGTTTGTGATATATGTATTAGTTGAAAGTTGTGATATTAGTTTAAAGGTGTGATATTACTTAGCTATATAAGTTGTAGATGGTTGCATCAAAAGTGTGGATCGTAGTTGGTCACATAAGCCTTAGTAGAGAGTTGTAATAACATTTGTAGGACACTAAGACTAGAGTTGGGAGCTACATAAATTGTGATAGCATTCGCAAGCCACTGAGGTTGAAGCTAGGAACTGCATGAGCTATGATAGCATTTGTAGGCCGCATAGGTTGGAATTGGGAGTTGCATGAATTATGATAATATTCGTAGACCACAGAGGCCAAAGCTGGGAGTTGTATGAGCTATGATAATGTTTGTAGGCCATAAAGGCCTCATATGGGAGTCACATGAGCTGTGATAACATCTGTAGGCTACAAAGGTCAGAATTAGAAGTTTCATGAGTTATGATAATGTACGTAGGCCATAAAGGCCATAATTGGAAACTTCATTAGTTGTGATAACATTCATGGGCCACAAAGGACAGAATTGGGAGTCGCATGAGCTATGACAATGTTTGTAGGACACTGAGAATGAAGTTGGGAGCTGCATGAGTTATGATAACATTTGTTGGCCTCTAAGGCTAGAGTTGAGAGCTCTATGAACTATGATAATGTCGGTGAGCCATAGAGGTTGGAGTTGGGAACTGCATAAACTGTGGACAAGGTCACAGTTGTATTTGTAAGTCATAGTGATGGGCTGGAAGGGGAGACCTTTAGCAATTTGAAGAAATTCATGATATCCTGAGTACTCCGGTTGTAAGCATTTATTGTTGGTTACGTTGTTACACAGTCATCGAGAGGTATCGGTGTATTTTATGTAGGGTACATTGTTGCACCGTATTTGATACATGTTATTACATCATCTTCAGGGTGCTTTGTTACACCATCTTAGGGGTGTGTTGCTACACTATATGTGGGGTGTGAGTTGCATCACATTCGAGCTGTTGTTACACTATCTTCGAGGTGCATGATTATATCGTATTCATGGTGTATTACTCTGTAAATTGCTTTGTTACTCTACAAGATTGGTTTTTACTCCGCACGATGCTTTGTTTCTTTGCAGCATAGATCTCAAATCCATATGGGACTTTGTTGCAATGAGCGAGGGATGGTCTATGACAGCCAGTGAGTGGTGGTCGGCGGTGGTCAACGACGTCATGACCTGGAAGTGTTCAATGAATCTTCAGTGCAGAACACATGACTTTAGATCTTTTTCTTCCCGATCCACCTTCATACTCAGGTCTTTATCCCCTTTTATGAAGGAGGTACGACTCTATTTGTTGAGTCAAGGAGATGCATCCTGACAAATTAAGAAAGAGTCCATACCACTTCTTTGGATGATCATCAGAGATTCTCTCGATCGAACGACAATTTGTAGATATTTAATGTAAGAATTGAGTAATCTTGAGCTCGTTGGATTTTTCTTATCAAGACACTCGATTTAACCATAAGCATATTTGATTTAGAATTTGGTTGACCTTCCAATCGAGCACATGAAACTTCTTAAAATGGCTTGGCTGCTGAATTTTAG